ACTTTGATGCAGACAGGAGAGCACGTCATATGTCTTTCTCCATTCCCAACAGTCATTTCTTTTCCCAGAATAACAGTTGATGCTAAAAATTAACGTAGCACTGTACACTCTTTTCAAGTCAAAACAAGTGAACTTTATTGTTATTCTGCTATATGTGTAGTCGAGACACACAGTGGAACAAAATGTCATGCCTTCCAGGAGGACCACATGCTACATGAAAACAAATATAAACAGTAGCCTATAAACATATAAACAGGTATAAACCTACACAAACTACTGAAAGAAGTAATCTAACAATACCAATAGGCTACTATATATAATCTTTCTGTTACGTTTTAAGCAGGGATGAGGAGAGGCGAGATTCCAAGTGCAGCAACAGTTTATTTAAAAAACACAAGCCAAGATAATCCAAGACAGAAACAGGAACATAATCCAAACAGGGGAACCAGAGACCTAATCCGACAATGGGAACAGAAAATAACTTCAAAATAAGAGTCCACATGACAACAGAAATGAACACAGACCCAGGACACGAGTTACACTTACTATATGCAAGTACATACTTAACTATACACATAATCTAAAAACTATAGGCCTACATATACTTTCTATAAACACTGTATACCCTAGACATATAATTTGAATTTCACATGTAACAACACACAGTAGTGCAGTGGTGCAAAAAGACAGTGCAAAAAGAGACATTCAGGACAAGCAGCGCAACTGGGAGATAATGAAAGGTGAGTCCGTAGTGTATGTACATTGTAAACATTTGATTTACCCTATAGTGAGTCTGGGTAGTAGTGAGGATGTTAAAGTGTCCAGTGCAGATAGAGAGAGAAGAGAGTATTACCACAGATGGAGGGTTTGTACAGGCCACTCATCCTGTGTGTGGCTTCTGGTTCAGGAGGTAGGAGTTTGGACAGGAGTTTTAGAGGTGAGTGGGGTGACTGGAGTTGAAGGCTCTCACAGCCTGGGGCAAGAAGCTGTTGAGTAGTCTGGCAGAGCGGGGGCTCTGATGCTCTGGTACCATCTTCCTGACGGCAGGAGCTGAAAGAGACTGTGAGAATGATGGGTGGGGTTCTTCACGATACTGGTGGCTTTTCTGGAGCATCGTGCAAGGAAAATGTCCCGGATGAAGGGGAGAGAGAGACTGATGATCTTTGCAGCTGTGTTCACTGTCCTGCAGTAGCGCAGGAAGTGGAGGCGCTGCTGGGAATGTTGAGTTTCTCCTTAAGTCCATCACAACTTCTTCTTCCCCACATTGAGAGACAGGTTGTGCCATTCAGCCAGTTGTGTCACTTCCTCTCTGTAGCGGTTTCTTCATTGTTGCTGATGAGGCCTACCACAGTTTTGTCATCTGCAAACTTGATGTGGTTGGTGCTAAACTAGTCGTGAGTCAGCAGCGGGCTGAGCACACAGCCTTGGGGGGCTCCTGTGCTCAGTGGGGTAGTGCTGGAAGTGTTGTGGCCGTCACAGTCTGACTGCGGTACACGGCCACGGTCTCTCAGTAAACATCCAGGTATCCTGCAGCCTTTCATGGGTTAATTCTGAATAGGGTTGTGACAGAAATATTTTCAACATTAAATATAAAGAGAAATCCAGACTAAGGATGCTCAGGTCAAAGGCCATATATACTTAACCAAAAGGTGCTTAACACAGTAGAACTAACAGTCATATGATTAGCTTAGATCATTACAAACCAATCACCAGAACAAATCACAGTGAAGAAGACTTGAGTGGCATTGATTTTTACTCAACTGTATGATTTAAATGGACATGTATCTTTCTATTCAGGAGACTCACTTGGTTGTTGTGGTGAGTGATCTCCCGGCCGTGAATAAAACTTCATTTCTACAAAGAGCAAGAGTCGTGTCGGGTATATGCTACGCAGCTGAGAAATAGATTCTACGCTCAAAAGACAACAACAGAACATCTATGTGTGATTGAGGTAGTAATAGAAGTACTAAACATTCTACGCTCAAAAGACAACAAAAGAAACAGCTCAAGTGTGATTGAGCTTCTTGACGGGAACCTTACTTCAGGGAAGTATTGTATTGTATTTTTTAAGTATTCAGGGAATTACCTTGAGATACTGTAGTTATTATTTTAACAACTGGAAGTTTTTTAAATTGTCCGTGGTGAAGAAGTCAGATTAAGCATTAAATATTTCCACGACGGGGTCTCCCTTATGTCACCTGGTCATTGGGTAGTTTTTGTGCAGGCGTGTCATTCTGCATTTCAAACCGTGATTAAAAGGGGTTGAGTGCATTGAGGTATAACTTACTAAATTCTGTTATATTTATGCTTAAAACATGGTATTAGTCATATAGAAATCAGTTAAATATGAATATATTTTAGAATAGATGAAGCATGTATCAAAGAGAACTGCCTGTACGCCAATTTGAATAGGAGAGAATCACTTGAAGTGTCCGAAAAACATTCCAACACATTCCAAGTGTTCAGTGGGCATGCAGTGATGTGACCAAAGACCAAAGAGAAACGTAAGGAATGTGAACTGAACAGCCTTTCAGAAGGTACTGTGTAACCCCAAATTTGTGCTTACATCATGAATTGTAATTAAAATATACACTTAGGTGTGATTCATCTTTGAAAAAAAGATTAGACTTTATATCATGATCTTTATTATGACCCCCCCCCCCCCCCCCCGAACAGACCATCTTGATGTGAAATGTAAAAAAAAGAAAAGAAGAAACAATGGAAACAGTATATAAAAAAATCTAGCAACACATTTATGATTCTAAAAGCTGCAATGATAGCACAATTTAAAGCCAAAACAGGGTGTCATTCATAAAGATGACAACAAGAATCTCTTTCGCTGGTGTAAACAAACAAGAGGCATGTACTATGCAAATAAATATGTATACAAAATCTGATCAGTTCATAAATATACAATATATATTGTTTTTTCAAGTTGCTACATATAGGTATTTTTCGTTATTTATAATTAATTACAGTACAGACATTTATGTCACAAAAAACACTAAGAGAGACTAGCAATGCACAGCTGTTTGGTCATGAGTTTCAGATACCAGCTTGAGGCACCTCACAAACCAGCAACATGAAGAGTAGTAAATACACGTGAATTCTTCAAGTCTAATTAACAAAGTATGAAATAATAAACCATCATAATTTGAAACTTAAACCACCATATGACCTATGTTCTGCAGTTTTAGCGATAATACATAGGCTTAACATAGGGACAAATTAGTCTACAGTCTTGTTTTTAATAGTGGACACCAAATTGTACTGATTTCAAGGGTAATAATTGGTAATGACAGAATTACCATTTCAGGAAGAACAATCTAAAGAAAAACTAAACCATCAACTCAGGAACTGTAACAAAAAGACTTAAAAACAAGTTGCCAAACTAGTTAGTAAACAGATTGATGACATACTGACTGGTTTAGACAATTATAAGGTATTTTGCTTCCAAAAAGTGCAAACATAAGACCAGCTTATGCCACTTCTCATCAAGAAAACTACAGTAAATGCTCAGATATATTTGTTGAATACTGTAGAATATCAATTAAAGTGGTTGCCAAGTCGGATGCGACTAATCATGAAAGTATAAAATATATGCAAACAATTTTCTTTCTCAAAATTGTTGAAACAAAAAAGCAACTAAAAAAAAAAATTTATATATTATAATAAACATTAATATATTTCTGACTCTGTAAAGGATTTCATAGGGATGCATCATTTCATTTTGAAATCTTCTCATGCAAGTTTTAAGATTTTTATTTTTTACTTGGTGTGTGAACAGGCCTCAAAACTGCCATTTCAGTTCAAGATCACAATATTTTAGGTCAACAGTCAATTTCAAGTTCTTTAAAATTGTGGAATCAATGACTGTGGACTAAATGGTATAAATCCCTGTATTAGAGCTTTAAAGTTCATTTTAGAGACCAGGCATATGCTTGTTTGCATGTCTAGAACTTCAGAAAATTTAAGCCCTCCGGGAGAAAAAGCTCTTCACTTTAAGGTCCTCTATGAAATGCTTTTATCATACTCTTCATAGCTACATATAGATATTTAGATATATAGATATAAACAAACAAGTATGCAACACATTCACTGCTGTTATAGTACATTAAAATGCATGAGTTCATTAAACTTAGAGTAGTCTTGTATATAATTAAATGACTGTTAACCTGAAACATATTAGTTACAAAATAGTAATTAAGAATACATATATCTTATAATCTATTTTATTCTCTGAAAATATATAAATATATCTCAGGATGAAGTGGAGATGATTAACTATACATTTTGAAAACAAATTATAGATACATTACAATAACATCCCATTAATACACACACAGAGTATGGAGAAAAATAAACAAATTGTATCTTGTAAACACCAGTTTACAATCAAGCGCAGCGCTAGATCTATGACAGCCAACACACTGATCTACTATTTCAGTTCTGTGTCGTTTAAAGACGCCTCCTGATTTCCTGAACAATGTAGGGATGAATCAATAGGGATGAATGCAGTACAATAATTGTACTTTTAAATAATGCCGTAATTTATATAATATTGTGGCAAGCGGAGCGGGGTCGAGAGCCGTGGGAACGGAGCGAGTGCTAATGAGTGTCACCTGCGCGTCACACAGGTCTCCAGTCCCGCGGAGGAGCCCCGGAAGGATAAAAGGAGGAGTGACGACAGTGCAAGAAGAGAGAGGACCAGGTCTGGCCTTTTATGTTGGTATTTATTACGTTTATATGCGGCAGTCATCCACAAGGAGCTGCTGCTTTACTTTCGTTTTCTTATTTGTTTATTTTATGATTAAAACTTGAACAGCGTTGAACATTCGCCGGTTCCCGCCTCCTTCTTCCCTGAACGTGAACTTTGTTACAAATATATATAATTTATATAATAATAAATTATTATAATATATATACAGTATATATATATATATATATATATATATATATATATATATATATATATATATAATGTTCAATATCTCCAACCAAATGCTATTTTTGTTCTGCTGTCATTTTTTCTTTGTGTTGCAGCATTTATGCTACAAACTAAGGGTGCATTATATCAGTTTTTCTTAAGGAGTACTATTACTTGAGCACAGTATCAGACCGGTGCATTCCTATAAGAAGGTGACATTTTGCATTGGATTTTGCAACATGTTGCATTAGAGGCCCTAGGGTGTGTTGGCTGCCAGTCAGACCAGTGTTCCAGGTGAAGGGGGCTCAGAGCCGGACTCTTTTTGAGTGCTCCCCTCTGAGGGGAAAGGCTCTGGGTAGAGGGAGAGCTCCACGGACCTGCCATGATGAAGAGAGAAGATCAAACTGAAAATGGCAGCATCAGAAAAGGTCTAACTAGTTAACTTGTAGCTAAACTATTCAATCAAAACCATTGTGATACATTTTTTTCCTTACAATTGTGATATATATATATATATATTTATAGTCAGCAAGGATTAAATTATTACAAAGTGACAGTAAAAACTTTTCCATTGTTACAAAAGATTTCTATTTCAAAGAAATGCTGTTCTTTTCTATTCATCAAACAATTTCATTTCAACAAATATATTAAGCAGCTCAACTGTTTGTTTGTTTTTACATTGATAATATTAAGAAAAGCACCAAATCAGCATATTAGAATGATTTCTCAAGGATCATGTGACACTGAGGACTGAAGTAATGGGTGCTGAACAGCGTTGCCATAAAAATAAATTTAATTTAAAATATATTAAAATAGAAAAACATTATTTTAAATTGTTATAATACTTTATAATATTACTGTTGTTACTATATTTTTAATCAAATAAATGCAGTCTTGGTGAGCATAAGAAACGTCTTTTAAAAACATATATTATATTTCATCGTACCCTAATATAATAAAATATGATAAAAAGGGTCAAGTAGTAGTAGTACTAGTCTACTACTAATAATAATTATTATTATTATAATTTCATATTTGTAGCATGGTTCTCACACCTAATGATCAATCAAAATGTTCATGATTAGCAATAAAATGGTATTTTCAATCAAAATGTTCATGATTAGCAATAAAATGGTATTTACTATAGTAATTTTCATGAGTATTCCAGTCATTTCCATGATTATTTCAAATTCTCTGAATTTTCAGCTTTTCCAAAACTATGGGAGCACTGCTGTGGGGTGAAAGAGAAATGTGAAAAACTCACCTGGCATGCAAGGGATGCCCGTGAAATGAAGCTGACTGAGGTATTTGACGGTGCACAGAGTACAGTGGGTCGGCTGGGATGGACTGAGGCTGGTGCACTAGGTGATGGTGAGTATGTGAGTGGCGCATGGAAAGTCCGTCGTGACCTTTGGCCGTAGTGGAATAGCCTAAGGCGTTCCTCAGATACCAGTCCCGGAGTCCCTCCAGAGCCAGTGCCTTGTGCAGACTGCGGGTGGAGTCCTCAGGAGTGGGCAGAGAGAACTGAGGCGGCCTGCGTCCGAACGCTGCAGCAGTGGACAGCTCTGTGTGGTGAGGGAGCAGGTTGGGAATAGAAGAGGTCGTGGATCCAGAGGAGGGATGTGACAGATCATACGCCGAGAACAACACGGCATCCTGGGGGATGAAGGGTCCGCAGGATTTGGTTCGTGTCACTTTGACCCGACGGGGTTCAGACTCTTGACCCCGCAGCAGCATGGGGCTATAGGAAGGTGGAGCAGCAGCCAGATGTAACTGTGAATGTGAGAAACCGTTATAATGCGGAGGGGTGGTCGTTTGAGGAGTGGAGAAATCCGGCCAGATTCGTCCTGTTGACTGGTTCTGTGGAGCCTGGACGGGCCTCTTTTGCTGTTTGCCCCAAATGTAGTCTATCAAAATCTCATTGTAACCAGTGCCACTGCCACCAAGAGAGGAGCGCATTCGACCTTGGTCTTTAAAGCCCATCATCTGACTCTCTGGGCTGCCTTGATATATCTGACGGAGCTTCCCATCCGTGAGGGACTCAGAGCTCTTGTATGGTCCAGCTCGGGGTGGCATGCCGTTGCGGGGAGGGCCGGGCTCAGGGAGACTTGAGCGGTCAAGTAGCGCCTCTGAACTGTTGCTACGGCGAGCGCGGGAGCTGTAGGGGCAGCTGCGGCGCTCAGATGAGGAGCCCTCCAAAGATGCCAGTGGGACAAACTGAGGAACATCTGGACTGCCACACCACTGCTTTAGTGCAATACCACCAGACAACTCCGGCCTAGCAGAAGGAGAAGATAAGACAGTAAGAAGTCATTAGTGGTAATAAGATTTAAAAAGAAAAAAAAACATTTGGATCTAAAGCCAATCTAGGAAGCATTTTTCTGAGCTCAGTGAGAAGACGGCAGACAAAGCAAGAACAATTCTAAAACATAAAATATTTCATTTCATACTGAAAAGTTTTAAAAGTAAAAGTTAATTTGAAATTGTTTAATTCCCAATATTTGTGTGTATTATGCTCTAAAGTTTGGGATCAGTACAATTTTCTTTTAAGAAATTCATTATTTTATTCAGCAAGGATGCATTAAATTGATCAAATGCAACAGTAAAAACATTTCTATTTCAAATAAGTGCTGTTCTATTGAACTTTTTATTCAAAGAAAAATCATGGTTTCCACAAAAATATTAAGCAGCGCAACTGTTTTCAACATTGATAAGAATAAGAAATACTTCTTGAGCAACAAATCAGCATATTAGAATGATTTCTGAAGGATCATGTGACATGACACTGAAGACTCGAGTAATGATCCTGAAAATTCAGCTTAGAATCACAGGAATAAATTACATTTTAAAATATATGAAACATACATTTGTTATTTTTAATTGTGATAATGGTTCACAATAATATTGTTTTTACTGTATTTTTTTAAATGCAGCATTGGTAAGCGTAAGTTTTCAAGTTTCAAAAACATAAAAACAAATATGAACAACCCCTATCTTTTGACCGGTAGTGTTTGTCTATGCTTATATGAGTATTTTATTGTTAGCTTCGCAACAAGCTAATATCAAACTGTATTAGAATCATTCTTGCAGATTGTGCTATTTCTGTGTTGCTGGCCATGCAAATGCCAGTTTGGGTGTTGCCTTAGAAGGCAGATGCCTATATAGGCAGTAGGCAACTCATTAGGTTTTGGAACAGAGCCAAAGTGTAGACACACTACAGTGTACAAATAGCAGAAGGAATGGTCAGAAAAGAGTTAGTACCTCACATGGACACTGACTGGTGCAGTGCGGGACAACAGCGGTGTGGCTGGAACACTTCTGCCCTCCACATTGGATGCACTTCTTGGCATCGAGTCACTCGGGCTGGATGAACATTCATACATTCATAAGTTTTAATTGTAGTGTAAACCATACCCATTTCAGCTTGTGAAAACATCCCTTCCTCCCCTTCGCTCACCTCACAGAGCTTGAGGCTGAGTTGCGACGAGTCCTCATCTCGTAGTAGATCTCCACAGGGGACAGCTTCCTACAGAGCCTACTGTCAGGACTGCCTGGGGCCAGCCGGGGGTGAGACAAGGAGCGATGCTCAGGTGCCACACTGGGAGACGAATCCTCTGTAAACCACAGTTGACAGTTGTACAAAATCACATTTACAGCCTGCCAAAAACAGGCCAGTGTGGTCAAATAAATCAGAGTATTGAGATGTACATTCATTGTTTTATAATGTTAAGAGGCCCTACCATTGTCATGTGATGTTGAGTCTGACATTGAACTGCTATCTGACTTCACAGTTTCCTCTGAAAATATTAAAAATGAGAATAATTATTAAAATAATTGCACAAAGAACAGATTTCTTATTGTCTATTATATATATCATGAGATGAAACTGTTTCTTGACTCAATAGTTATAGTCAACAATTGTTTACATTAGTGTTTAACAGTTTAGGGTCAATGTAATATTGTTTTTTTTTGTTTTATCTTTTATTCATGTGATGGCATTACTCCAATCTTCAGTGTCACATGATCCTTCAGAAATTATTCTAATATGTGCTGATTTGGTGCTCAAGAAAATTACTATTATCAAAGTTGAAAACAGCATTTATTTGAAATAGAAAACTTTTGCAACACTGTAAATATCTTTACTGTCACTTTTGATTACTTTTATGCGTCCTTGTGAATAAAAGTATTACGTTAAATAAAAAAACAAATCATAAAAATGTGTCCGATGGCACAAGTTTTTTTAAATATAAATGTTCTGTTGGAGTAAATTATTGGTTAAAAACATATAATCAAGTCATTTATAAATATCAAAGTCTGTCAACATTAGTCCATTGTCCTTTTAAAGCAAAACAACAGTCTTGCATAATGAGGAGAAATTACTCAGTTACCATGCATTTCCTGTAGAGCCATTCCCAATGTATGCATTTTGTACCAAATAACCAATGTTAACCAGAATATAATTTGTGCTTGTGTGTGTGTGTGTATTGTTACCCGTGTGACATCCCCGATGAACAGTCCTCTTACTGTGCAATGTGTTTTTATCATAATCGATGCTCCGGCGCAGGGCACCACTGAAGAGAGCCTTCATCTGCCTTCTCTGACCTGGGTCATCCTACATGGAAAACAGATATGGTAATTATTGTATTAAACTGTTACTTTTATTAGCTTTCAGTAAACAGACTCACCTCTCCTTTTGAGGTGACATGAGGGGCCAGGCCAGCACGGCGCTGAACAAAGGGAGGTCTTTCCCCGTCTCCTAAAGGAAAATCCTGTGGAAGCTTCCCTGTGAGCTCCTGTACAGACATTTAACATTTTACTTTGTTTCAATCACTTCACTAGGGGAATATTGTGCTGCTTGTTGCCAATCGTTAGAACAGATGGTTCTAATAAGTACCCCTGGTTCAGATTTTTTTGTACATCTACATATTCTACAACAGTTCTTCACATAAATGCAAATCCTAACACCCAAACTTCGAACATTAAATAAGAAATTTTAAGACAAAAAAATAAAACAAAAAAATCATGCAGATCTAGAAACTTTGTGAATCAGCCCGATGCACATTTCCTTCACTGTTGAAGTCATCATTTTGTTTTTGTTTCTTTGAGAGAAAACTATTTTATAGCGACTGACTAAAAGTAAAATACTGTTCCAAAATTGAATAAACCATCTTACCGCCTCCAGAAGACACACTTGCCGCAGCTCTCCGAGACGACTGTTCAAAAGGCTCTGCAGACTCTGTTTTCGCTCCTGCAGCTCTGTGATTCGCTCTGCTTGAAGCTTGCTGTCCTGACAGCCCTTGACATCTGTGAACGAGCACAATGTGCATGAGACAGAGAGCCAAAGTTGTATAAATCCATTCTAAGGGTACAACATTCTTAATTAAATATGCACTTCCCTTCATAATTTTGGGGTCAGTAATAATTTTATTCAGCAAGGATGCATTCAATTAATCAAAAGTGATAGTAAAGACATTAATAATGTTAAAAATCAAGCGTAGCGTCAGTTCTGGCAGGTCACGTTAGTCAAGCTTGCGTCAGCTGACTCTCAGCTGATCCACGTCTACCTATAGGAATACGACACCTATCACTGTATACATATATAAGCTCCTTCAGTATTAGCAGCAGCTATCGCGTTTCTCAGGAGCCAATTACCCTCCTCCATCCCCAGCTCCTCCTCTCGTGCAGTCAGTATTTGGCATTCTGATTCCCCTTGAATCAGAGTAAATTCTCGAATGATGTTGTACTTTAAAATCTTGAATTAATTATATCTGCATACATTCATGTTGGTTCTGGTCTGTTTACCCTAAGGAGGGTTATTGCTGCTCTCCCTGCTCTTACCCATGCTAGGCTGCATGGATGCGCAGGCAGTTCTCGCCCAGAACGGAACCATACCGCCAATCCTAACTGTATGCTAATTGTCAATCGTATTTGACGATAGTGGTCCTGACAGAAAGGGTGTATGTGTGTATTATTAAAACATACAAGAATTAAAATAAATAGGTTTAAATGGTACAAATAAGCCCCCAATATCAACCAACACAAAAATATATACTGTGCATCCCTGCTTTCCATAAGGGATTCTCAACAAGGAATTATTTAAGTAGGCTTACCTGGAGCGCCTAAGCCCATGGCAGTGATCAGGTGACCTTTGACCTCCATTTAATGTATTTCAGGAAGTCTTGTGAATTTAGCTCCCAATTAACCCTCAGCTCCTGTGGACAAAGAAGAATGTATATCTAATGAACGTGTCTAAATTAAAATACCAATGAGCTGAGACTGATCTGAGAAGAACCTCCCATCACCTTATAGTTTGAGTCATGTGAGGCATGTCATTCAGTGTTGAGGGCCACAATACTGCAGTATCCTGGTGGACTGCGGAGGGAGCCACAGTGCGACTTCTCAATTTACTGCTGAGCCCTTAGTGTAAAAGAAGAAAAGTATAATTGTTATACACTAATAACTTCTATATGTTCCTAAGATCGATTTATTTTGACTTCTGGCTGTAACTCAGTCCTCTAAATGATGGCTTATTGGAGCTTAATGGCTTGTTCTGCCTCAAAATGCAATTTAAAGACACCAGAACACATTAATTTAGAGAGGCAAATAGTGCTATCAAAATAAATGAAAAAAGATGGTGATCGTTTTTATACTTGAATCGCTGCTGTGCCACTAAATCATTTATTTAAAAATTACCTCTCCTCTTACTTTCTGGAAGTTATGTCAGTTATCAGAGGGTAACATGACCGAGGGTGTGAAAGTGAAAGCTTATATAAGGTCATTGTGGAAACCCAGGTTATCCAACAATGCTACAACAACGTTCAAATCTGGGGTTGCAGAAACTTTTTGAGTCTCACAACCAATAGAGGTAAACTACAGCCACTAATTTTATTTTACTATGCAAAAAATGCATTACAAAAAAAAACATAATTATTAATATTTAGTTGGTTGTCTCGTTTTAGCATGTATTCATAATTTCTTTGTATGACAGCCTGGCCAAAGATTAAGTCAGAACATTAAGTTAAAATTTGGTATGTTTCATTGTGTTATCACAAATAAAACAATTGACTTACAAGCACAACTAACCAATACACTTACAAATCTTGAACAAAATGTTTTAAATATTCAAATAAAGGGTAAATATGTCAATGCATTTAATGACATACAATAACTTGCATACTGACATCCCCTTAAAATTTATTTGAATCCACTGTACTTTCACAAACAAGACAAAACATTTCACATGCCAAATGGCACAAAACAGTCTGTTCATGAATCACACTTAGGTTATAAAGCCTGATGGCAAGACATGGACAGAACAAGCAGAATGTGTTTTTTTTTATAAGGAAGTGGCGTGGGTCATGTGGTACGATGGATGCTGGGAATGCACCCAACAACAAAGCAAGACATAAAACCACCATGTGCGGGGTAAACAGACAACAAAGAATAACAAGTGTAAGTAGGGGTATGAATGTAAAATATTGCAAGTAGGGGTATAAATGCCAAAAAAGGCAAAATATGTATATATATAAAAAAGCTGCTCTCATACTCCACAACAGAACAACTGAACGAATAAGATTCTTCAAAACACTATGAGCACATCTGGCAGACACATGCTAACAGATATCGCACATCTCGGCTCTTGTAGAGACCTGGCAGAGAGCATGATGGGAGGAGAGAGGGAGGATAAATGCTCCGAGATCAAAACCTGACTCAGAGAGTACTATGAGAGAGATATAAACAAGGGATTTGTGGGAATTTGATGACAAAGCACCCAATGTCCTGGGACAAAATATGTGAAAGAGATAAAGTGTGAGAGAGGGAAAATCAAGAGAACCAGAGATTATTCATTACTGTCTCACAAATTAAAATTAGACAAAAAAATACTAAAGGAAAATACCAAAATGCAACTACAAGCATAGTGATAGAAATCTTTGAAAAATAAACACTGAGAAAGTTTAATTAAAACTTATTGTTTGTTCCATGTTAGGCTGATCGCATTTCTGTATATGCATTTACAAAATTTCATATTCATGGGCCTGTGTATATTATGTAATATTAATAAAGTTCAAAGTTTAATTTTGAAGTACAATTTTGGTATAGCGTAGAGTAGTGATGTATGTCTCGAGACCGGTCTTGGTCTCGAGACCGGTCTCGAGACCACTTTTACGTGGTCTCGGTCTTGTCACGGCCTTGACGGTCTTTGGTCTCGGTCTTGTCTTGGTCTCGGACCTCTCGGTCTTGTCTAGGTCTCGCTGTCTCAGTGATCGCAGCGGCAACGAGCACTTTGATCACTTGATTTAAAAAACACATATCATCAGGGTGCGATTTGTGAAAAAAACAGAGGGGGGGATGTTTTGAAAAAGTTTTATTCATAAAAATAAATCATGAGAACATGAACTTCATCACTGCATTTGCAGGAATTGTAAAATCTTTTTTCTTATTAACTCATGAAGTAGCCTAACGCAATATGTTTTACTCTAATAGCTTATCATGTACAGTATTTGATATATTAATATTTAGTAAAACACATATCAGTGACATGATGGGTTTTACCTTCATTCAGGAGATTTTGGGTAACTGCACAACTGACAGATGACTTTGAGCGCACCGCCAACGGTGTGTGTGTGTGTGTGTGTGTGTGTAACCATAGCGACAAAAACGACCAACTTTCGGATCCTGCACTTAAGCCTATAATTTCGTTTTTAAAAATATAATTATGTATTTAAAAGTTGCAGAATGGATTCATTTGGAGACTTCGAAATCAGCAGAGATAGGCAGGCAAATGCAAAACAACATTTGACAAGTTATTGCTTAGCTTCAACACTAATGTTTTTTTTCCCCTCCGGTCTCGACTTGGTCTCGGTCTTAGTCTCGACTTGGTCTTGGTCTCGACTTGGTCTGTCTTGGTCTTGGTCTTGTCTTGGTCTCGATACCATCTGGTCTTGGTAGTGTCTTGGTCTCGGTTTAGGCGGTCTCGACTACAAGTCTAGCGTAGAGTCGGCACTTGTCATATGTAAAACCTGGTTAAAGGGTTACATTCATCTGCCAAAAATTATACAATCTGCTCACCTTGATGTCATTTCAAACCTGGAAAACATTCACAAAAGCAGGTGTTTGGCAGAATGACAGTCTCAGACATTCACTTTCAGCAGAACCGAGGAAAAATGCAATCAAAGTGAATGGTGACTGGCTGTAAACTTCCGCCTCTTTTTGTGTTTCATGGGAGAAATAATGTTATACAGGTTTGGAACAACTTATGACAACAATTTTTTAATAGAAAAAAAATCTATTGAAATGACTGATCTGTTAATGTGTGCAACCATCTATAACAAAACATAAGAGTGTGTGAATTGACATGTTAATGACAGTTGTGGTGGCAGATGAGACTGTATACACAGCTGTGACTCCATGTCCATGCATACGAGTATCTATCTACAGGACATCCGAGTGTCAAACAAAGACCTTCTGAAATGAAGAACTCACAAAATCAAGGTAAGCGATATGTGAATATAAATGATCCGCTATACTTGGCTAAGATTTTCATTTTATAGATTGTTATCACTTATCACCATCAACTAAACAGCAAACGCAAGTCAAACGAGAGAAAAAAATAATTCCAATCAACTAACATTTTGAAAGCAATCATGTATCACGTGTGACACGCTTGAGCTACTGGAGAAACTTTTTGTGCAGTAAGGACTTACCTTGACCGAAAGAAGATATGTCACTAAGAAGATATCCGAAAAAGGAGAGAAAAGCAGCTGCTTATTTCATTACATGTCCGATTTAATTAACATGTTACTCTAGAAAGTTGTATTTAATGCACGACGTCAAATGTTTATCGTGTTTCTTCTTTGCAGACGTTGCAACTCAGGCAGCCGCAGTAATTTCTACGAGCCCTAAAGGCAACAAGGACGAAACCATTTACATGCGCTGACGGGGGTTACACACTCATACAATGGCAATAAAATATTAAATATAGCCTACACAAGTACATTTTATTATACATTTTAAGTTATATATAAATTAAATTGGCGTCTGTCCAGGCAATTCGGCTGTATATAAAATCGATTTAAAGTCCAAATAAGCTATATAAATGCAGATTATGTCGGCAAGTTCAATGGTTTGGTCTGAAAAGCGGACAGGTGAGGCTGTGGCGTCCGTAACAACCATATGGTTTCTAACTTAAACGTCGCACAAGAATGTAGCCTATACTCTCATTGAAGTACTCTGCAGAACACAAAAGAACATAGTTGGAAGAACATGGGTAAGCAAACAATTCATGGACCTCACGGCTATGAAAAAAAACACAAAAAAACTGGGGCTCATCAACTGTTCGGTTACCGCCATTCAAGAAAGATTTTTTTGGGGGGTGAACTATCCCTTTAAAATAGCCCATTGCTTTAAAAGAATTGAAAAAATGAAAGATTTATAGGCCTATATATATAATTTTATAATATATAATTTTGTGTCCTTTTTGAAGCTTTACCTCTTTGGTCACCATGCATTCTCATTGAATTAAAAAAGTGCAATCTTGACAATTTCCTATTTTGTTTTCCACAGATGAAAGTATGTCATATGTTTTGAATGACATGAGGGTGAGTATATGATGATTGATTTTTCATTTTTAGGTGAACTATTCCTTTATGTCAATAGTCAAGTCATGTGGTCAAACAAACATTAAGTGTCAGCAGTGTTTACTTAGAAAGTTACTGACCTCTTCATGCAGCATTCCTCTCAGCTTTCTTCTGTGCTTTGGAAGAAAAACTGTGACAATACCACAGGTAATTTATTTGGTTTTAAAACAGATTTACCCAAGCTTTAAAACAATCAGGTATTCTATTATTTGATTCAATGCAGAGTCAGTCTGTTATTAGGTGACATTTTTATTAAAGAATCAACCAAAGACAATTTGGAACGTAAAATGAGTTTATGAGCTTTCGAGCACTAAACATGACATGACACATTGAACACTTATTAGTTCTCTGCAATGTTTTACACCTCCATCTGCTAACTGCATTTCTTTTTTGGCTAAACTGATGTTTTAGAGAAGTGTACGTGTTTTGCTGATTTTTTTTTTTTTTTTTTTTTTTTTTTTTACATGACCTAACATTTAATTTTAGGGTTGGATCTTCTAAGAATCGCACATTCCCTGTATATGAAACATTGAATTTATTGAAACAAAAATGTATATGAAATCACCAGCTTCTAAAATAGTTAACTTTTTTTTCATGGGATCAGTTAGAATTTCTGACAAATGCTGCAACACTATCATATAAAATGACATGAGCATGATGAATCGAACATGCAGCCTAGAAATTTATGACACACTTTTCCTGCACACGACAGCATAGTGAATTGGCATAGCAGAGGGATCTGACGCTATTTGTGACCATGAGACCTTATTGTAGAAATTGGAGGGGCTGAGATTAGCGCTTGGGGGAAAAGTGCTTTCTCAAAGCAGACAAAGGCAATTCCAAGGACTTGTCATGACCTGTCTCTCATTTGCACTGCCCTGTTTTAGCACACCAATAGGGCTCTGGCACTACAAAGAATCAGAGGATTACTGCTGGGAGATTACGCTCCTTCTCACTCTCTGTCTTTCTTTGGCCATTGCATCACTTCAGAGTTCAAAATACAACAGAGGTGCAATGAAGAATGTTTCTGGTTCACAGTCACAGACAAACGTATTTGAGCATCATCTAATGGCAATGGGGCATGCTTTGAGGGTATCATGCATTTTGTAAGTAAACAAAAATACATAATTGAGGACACATTTAATTGACATGGAGTGTAATCTCTAAAACAATTTGATGTAAATATGAACAATTGTAGGTCAAGACAGTTAAAAATAAAATAAGTGTACACAAGTAAGTGTATTAAAGTGGCCCTATGCCTTTTCGAGTATTAGCTTTTATTTAGTGTAATATAGCTGTTTGTAAATGCAAAAGGTCTGCAAAGTTTAAAGATCAAAGTGCACGCCAGATAAAGTTATTGTCTCCTTAAAGAAAGAATCGATTCTTAACTGCCGAAACGAGTCGACAGCAATTCCAGTCTCAACTCTGTAACATATCTACGTAGGTTAGTAACAAATTTGCTTAATAGCAGCCTATGTTCTTCATTGGTTGACCGCAAACAACGTCTACTTAGTACTTTTCCCGCCCTCAAACACTAGCTGAGAAGCAACATGTTGTAGCAACATGTTGAGAAGACGCAGTTTTCTGTGCTGCGACTCCATTTTGCATGCACTTCCAAAGGATGAGGACTCACGCTGGATTTGATAGGGTAAAACCGACGCCATTGTTACTGTTTGCGTATACAAGTGCCGAGGAAGCCTCCGGAGCTGAAATTCAGATATGGTAATGGCCGTTTTGTTTCAGACATACGCTGTAAGCTGTAGACCAATCACAACAGACTGAGCCATCTGACCAATCAGAGCAGAGTGGGGGTTTAGAGAGTCTGAATCCTTTATTGACCGTTTCACTGTGAGAAAAGAGGTGGTGCAATGTATATTATAAGAAAATTAAAGTGGTTTTTGACCTTGGATGCATGTAAACCTGTTGTAGTAGACCTCCAAAACAAAATTTAAAATCGCATAATTAGGGGCACTTTAAACTTAATGAGCATAAAAGGAAAAACACTGCAAGTGGAATCTGCTTTATTCCTTAATGATTGAACTGTGTAACCCTATAGCAGTGATTTGTGAACAAAGTTGTCAAAAGTAATCTCAAAGACCATTAGTTAAGGGCAGAACTAATAAAAGAGGACTGTGCTCAATATAATGAAATACGGCTCCTTCATCTGAGCAAGTATGACCAGGAGTGACCCTTCCTCCTTACATCTGATTCTCAAGAACAACCAGCTGCTGTCCTGCCAACCTCTACTCTCTTGTGCTTTGATCTCTGCAGATCAAGTTACAGGGGTCAAACAACAATCACTATGTTCAACCCATTTTAGTAGCTACAGAATCAAGGACCTGTCCTATTAAGCACTTTATATGCTTAGACTTAACAGATAGTCTGCTTATTCAGAGTCAGCTTCATTCTTCTACAAGTGATCGAACATTAAACAAGTATATTACTGTATATCCTTATTTTCATAGTCAGTCATAAAGTAAGTGACATACAAAAAGCTTTCCTACAACATGTGTGGCCTAAGGTAGCATTATGACGATGTCACTGGTCCATTAATATGCAATTTTTTGTATTAGAGATTCTTATTTGTCCTCTTATTCTTATGACCTTGTTCTGCCCTTAGGCTTCAAAACAACGTTGGACCCCATTGACTTTCATTGTACAGTCAAATAAACATTTAAAAAGCTCTTCTTTTGTGTTCCACAGAAGTAAGAATGTCATATAGGTTTGGAACAACATTTCTGGGTCTTTTAAAATAAGTGAAAATATCTCTTTTGTCATATTCAGTATGGTTTCTAGAATATTTTTTGAACAAGCGTGAACTTAAGTGCAGCTTTAGTGAACATGACACTATGTTTTGTTAAAGTTAGGAGCAGGCAAGTAGGTAAAACTATTATCCTTTTAGATGAAAAACTGTTTCAATTCGGAGATGATGTGAGCAGTATCGCACAACAGAACATCAAAGCCTTACAAAACCCAACATGAAGCTAAATCTCACGTAGAATAGTCGAATGGCGGCTTAAACTTGTGTTATTTCAGTAATTGCTCAACTCCTCTTTCTTCTCCACCCAAAGATGAAATTCTTCCCTCCGTGTTTTCTTTGCTACTGGATAAACAAAGACAAAACAGACAGTCTGCAACAAAGCTGACCACAGCTTGGCAACACTGTGGTAAATCCCCCTGTGAAAACATGTATATTCACAGCCTAGCCGGGGTGGAGACAGTGTTTTGCCACCTCAGACCCTGTCCTGGGGTCAGACAACATGGCAGCTGGACAGATAACAGAAAGCCATTTGTTTGGACACTAACACTCACACCCTGCACTGTAATTTGTGGTGATGACTCAATACTTTAAACTGGGATAGTTCACCCAAAAATTCAAACTTCTGTCATCATTCTGTCATGACTTTGTCTTCTGTGGAACACGAAAGAAGCTATTTTGACAAAAAATCCTATAACCATCTAACATATTTCAAAACCCTGGAAGCTACAAGACGGGTTGAAAATATAACAAGCTTAAACGATGTTACCCTGAAATTCCCAGCATGAGTCTTTTGTGCCTGCTTGTCTACACATGGCTACAACATCAAGCCGCAATTGAATCAGTTTGAACTCTTTATTGCTGTTGCACCTTGGAGAGGGAGGAGGTCAAAAAAAGGAGATCTGCTGAAAATACACAGTGCTAGATGGAGCAAGAAATCTGCGCTGTGCAAAGCAGAGTGACTCAGAGTCTAGACACTTCAAACCACATACACCATCCTCAGCTAGCAGTGAACATAGTGGGACCTGAGAGAGGGAGCTCAACTCAAGAGCTTCAATTATAGAAGCGCAGTTCATTATGTGCCATGACAGGCGTGAGTTGGCAGCTCTGCAATGTTGATCCTCGTTCTGCCTTTAACGCGATCACTTTCTCTTTTTCTCTTTTTGCTTTGCTCCGATAAAACCTTTGCTTTCTTGTTTTTCTGTGCTGCTTCGGCCATGACTATAACATTTGGCTCGCAAGTCCGATTTTAAGGAAGTGGGGGTGGTGGTGGAAGTGACGTATATGCCGTAAAGCAGTCGAATTTTGTAGTTCTCTTTGTTCGCCGGTTACTACCCGAAACCCGAAGTTTAAAAGTACGATTAAAAATGCTACAGACCCCGTCAGGCTATGGCAGACGTGTCATTCAACCTATTGTAAGTCGATGTACCATCACAAGAGACTTGGAAATATATTATGAAGGTTGAAAAGTTACCTGTTGTTACTTTAAAAAAAAACACTGATGCTGGCATTCTTACACAAAAATACTGTGGTGGCAACACGGTGCAGCGATGATATTAGTTTTTGATACTAAATTAATTCTGTAGATGATATTGATGCTATTTACATTGTAGTTTTTATACCATGGTATACCATGGTAGATATAAAAGAACAACAACAACAACAAAAAAACATGAAAGAAAATTTAATAGAGCTGGTTCCTTTGTCACTTGTGGGGGAAATTGGAAGCTCAATCACTCCTTTGGTAGATTTGTAGCCTCACGAAAATGTTTAATTAAGACTTTCTAACGACTCAGTGTTTGCAATGAATCGATTGAATGACTCACTCAAGACACACAAAATGAATTCAAAGTAGCAAACTAGTACACTTTAGTTTATATTGTTATGCCATAGTAAGACTAGTATGCTATTCCGAATTCAGACTTGTGGCCACTTACTGGCGATGTAACCTGCGGAAAGGGTCACTGAACAAATCTTTTTACTGTAACTGATTCAAAAGATTCGAATCATTTAAAATGAATCAAACTGAGACACACGCCTGGATAAATAGTATCGCAATAATGATAATTGTGGCTTACCCGAAATAACACATACATTGACACAATTACAACACATTTACTGTTAATCAATCCAAGACAATAACAGGCGTGTGACTGTTTTGCAGCATTAATCCATCGCATAGCAACATGCCACGGAAAATCCCATTTAAAGCCACGCGCGACGCTTTCATCAGCATAACTACATGCTGGATGAATGAGACGATAAGAGAATGTGAACGCTGTTTTTCAATGACAAGACGTTTTAATACAAACATTTAGCACAACACCAAATAGGTCCTAGAAATCTGACACGACAGGAGGCAGATTTCACCTCATGCGTCCCTGCATTTAGGGAGCCTACGTTAACTGAAATCTCAAAACCATATATAAATCAAGTGATTAATGCTTCAAATATTACTCCCATACATGCTGTCTGTTTGAGAAAAGGCGACGTTTCTTAGAAGATATCGTAAGAAAAGACCATGCACACGGACCTGCGATGCCAATTAATATTCTTCTGCGGCTCTCCTCAGTCACATCTTGCAGATCACATCCTCCCCTTTATGAAAAACGTATGGGTCCCTGCATAACGCCAGCACAATCATATTATAACATCCTTTCTCACATTTAGCATTCATCCCAGTTATCCACAGTAAAGCGCTGTCACACCTCTGGAACGAGACTGGCAAACAGGGAAGAGCAACACGCATCCACTTGTCTGATTAACTCTTTCAGTCTTGCCTATTTATATAGACTCAATTGCCTGTAACTACATACAGCGTGTCTGAACTGAGACTTGCACTGCTTTCTAAGATGTTATAGTTGAAGTTCGCAACGAAAATCTAAAAAAGAATTACATGTGCACATTCCAGTGAACGACTTTTCATGTGCAATGACGAACTGTTTAAATAATTCGATTTTTATATATTATAAATTATAGTATTTTAATAACTAAATAATGAAAAACAAATTTTCAGTTGAAGTTCAACTTCGCATGAATTGAATGCAGAGGTGCAGTTATGCTGTTATGGCGCCCCCTGTAGCGCACGTGTGTATTGCATATTTGATCCGTGATACCGCAGGAGAAAATGTACGTGTGGATGCTGCAACGTATGTTAAAGAGACTTTTATTTAATCCAACATCAGTGATGCTTTTTTTAAAGTATAGCATTTAAGTTGTTACTGAGTGAGGCCTCATTAAAATAAGACATTACAGGCAAAACCATTGTTTTTTTAGATTTCAACTACAATGCATATCTTGTTTCCTCAAAATGTATTTTATAATAGACCAAGCCAGAAATCTTCAGTAGCATTTACCCCAAACTCTGTTTTATTCAGAAGTTGTTGTTTTTTAGTTTTTTTAACAAGGGGTTTGTTCATATATCATTGCACACTTATTTATAATATTTAATTCCTAGAAACGTGAAAATTGACTTTCAGACCAAAATCCTCTCTGTGAAAACTTTTAACTCTACAACAAAAAATTTTAACCTGGCTTTATTTAATGTTCAGTTTTCTGTTCTTTAAATGTATGCAAATGAGTGAATTTATTAATTAGATAATGCCTCATTTGCATATATAAACAAGGTTTTAGGAAACTTGTAAAACAACATTTACTGATTAACTGAGAAAGTATGGTGATATGTATATAACGAGCACATAATGACAGTTATCCAACAGATAATATGATTTATTAAATAAACGGAATTCAGATTATTCATATGAAAGCACATACAAACAAATCCAGAGTGTTTTATAATAAAGAAAACAGAAATTCTGGAAAGCAAAAGACATGTTTATAAAAACATTCTCACTATATTTGATTTCATTTCTCTGCCACCACTTGCACTATGTACAAAATTGTCAATCCAAAACAAGAGAGCAGCCTCACCCCATATCATACAGCAAATATTAAATCTTTTAACAAACATGGATCTTCCACATGATTAATGCATTCTGAAAAATCCCCCCTGAGAAGTACATAAGCATTCAAACATGTACGGATATCATTGGTGTGAGGAATTAAACCTAAATGGATGTGAAGCACTATTATAGCTTTAGTGCAAGGCAAGATGTACAGTTAAACTGATCAAGGTTTAATTGTGTAAAACATCCCCATTCACTGCCTCTATTTATATGACCAGGATTCAATGTGCATCCTTAGCCAGAGCGGGTACCAAAATGTGTGTCACATTCTCTAGGGTCAAAAAACATCTTTATGTTTAGTGGTCACTCAATAATGTGGGAAGTAATGTCAGTCACGATTTGTGGATTAAAGTAACCAAAAATTAATTCAGCAGTCAATGTAATGGTGGCATCTCTTTGAGAAAACAAATCAAAACGGTGCTCTAATATTTTTACATTAGAGTAGGGAGAAATCTAATCTAGCATGTGGGCTGGAATAAGAGATGTATTACTTAAATACCAATCTCCATGTGCTGAATAGTCTCTCTATACCTTTTGTGGAGTTTTGCATTTTTCACAGCATTCTGCCTCTGGGAAAATGAGGAAGTCACAGGTAGCCGCCCGCTCGGGAAGCACAGGCTCTGGCGCTTTTGCTGAATCTTTGTGCCCCGAGCCCTGGCAGACAGAGTACCTTTCCAGCTCCTCGAGGAGGGCAACAACCTCTTCTGTTGTGGTGAGACGAGACGGGTGGCTGTCGTAGAGTTTGTGGGTGGGCAGCAGGGGTTGTCCCTGGACGCTGATGTGGTAGTGGAAACTGGGCTCAATATGAACTATGGTGTCTGCCATAGTGGAGCGCTTGGAGCACTGCATCAGCTGTAACCGAGGCCCTTCCACCACAACGCAGAACCAGAGGACGGGAAGCACCATGCTACGAAGAGATTTCAGGAGCGGCATCAGTTCATGATTGATGTCGATGCCTTGGATGGTGGGGTCACTGTCTGCCATGCTGAATATCTGAGTGATCTGCAAAGGCAGATGTACATAATCACTGTTACCACAATGACTTCCATATTATGGGATTCAGACAATATCCATAAAATAGCTCCTTACCGATGGACAAGACTCGCCCTCATATTGCTCTTCTTGACATGGTTCCTGACCTGCCGAACCCTGTGATCGATTTCCTTCCCTCAAACTCTCCACAGCACAGCCTGGTGGAATTGCTGCAGTATTCCATCTAGCTGCAGAAAGGACCTCTGGTCTCTATACATATATGGGAAATGCAAATAAAGCTGGTTAATCAGAACAAGCGAACAAGGCAAGCAGTGAATCGATCGACAACGTGTACTGGAACGTGTTTTTTAACTAAATTTATTTATCAAAAATACATTAAATGCAGTAATATTTTTGAAATATTATTTAAGTTTAAAATAACTGTTTTCAATTGTAATATATTTTAAAATGTAATTTACTCCTGTGATGCAAAGCCGAATTTTCAGCATCATTACTCCAGTCTTCAGTGTCACACGATCCTTCAGAAATCATTCTAATATTCGGAGTTGCTGCTCAAGAAATGGTTGCGCTGCTTAATATTTTTGTGAAAACCATGAAACATTTTGTTGTGGATTCTTTGAATAGAAAGTTTAAAAGAACAGCATTTATTTGAAATGGAAATGTTTTGTAACCGTATAAATGTCTTTACTGTCACTTTTGATCAATACATTGTATCCTTGCTGAAAACAGTTACATTTTTATATATTTTTCAAATATTTATTATATTTAATTATTATTCATATACATAAATTAAATAATACTAGTAAAAATGAATGTAAAGACACTAATCTAAAGGCCATGCATTATGCATTTCAGTCTTGTTTTCTCAGAAAACTTTGTCAAGACAACCCAAAATCAATGTAATTATTGAAACACTGCCAACTCATTCAGCTTCAAAGAAGTCACTGAGTCTGCTTGTTTTTTCCTCTCTGTGTGGGAACAATATCAGAAGTGTATGGCTATGCAACTTACTAGGTTTATTTCCCATGTGCTGATCTTTGTTTTTTGTTTGTTTTTATTTGTTTAAGCTTAAGAGAGATGCATAAGAAGCTTACCACAGACAGAAAGGCTCTGCTACTGATGACACTGCCTTGAAGCCCATTTTCTTTGATCATCTCCGCCCGTCCTGCGTGCAGCTGAGGGCTTCTCATCTTCTCAAAAGATAGGGGATGATGAGATACAAACATATTTATATAGGACTATTCAAACAATAATAATAATAAAAAATGATTCTGGCAACCAAATAAGCTTATTTCCGTCTCTAGGTAAATCTTCTCTGGGATTCGTTTTTTTGGAATCATCATGACTTGATTAATGTTATATGGATATTATATTGATTTTCATGCAGAGAACATACCTCAATTCTTTGTGGATTGTAGAGTGGGATGTTGTTCATCATATGACTGTTTGGAACATCAGTATAAACGTAAGCCTAAAAAAAAAACCAGAAGAAAGTTACTGGAAGCTAACAGGAATAAGCGATAATGCTTTAAGGACTCCACTGGGATACCTTTCCATTGTAATTTGGCTGGAGGAGCCTGTCTGTATTTACCATCCGGCCAGCACCCGAGGAAGCCTTTGGCACATACTGTTCAGCCTCATTATCTGAAACCTCGAAATCCCACAACTTTTTGGACCTGGGTCTACCGCGTCCATACGTGTAACGTGGCCTACCGCGGGTAACCCAGCCCTGAGCAAACAACATCTCCGCCTCATCCATGGGCAGCAAATGCTTCTGTAGAGCACAACACAATTTACATGATTGTCATTTCTTGTGTAAAAAGTCTTACGCAATAATCAGCAACACAATAACTTTTAGCCAACCAGAAGGAAAAATAAACAAAGCTCCTAAATGAGAAACATAACATACAAGTAAATATAACATACAAGTAATAACAGCAAAGAAGCATAAGGGATTTAACTGTTCTCATTCCACTAAACAATTCCAGTTTCTTAATGATTCTTTTAGTGAACATATCTTTATGACAAGTAACAGTACTTGGTTCCTTTCAAACTGAAGTATTTAAAAATTTTGATCATTAAAAGGTTAGAAACAGATTATAAAAGTCATTGACCATGAATCAGTTCAAAATGGTCATTTTACTTTTTTTTTTTATTACATATGACTGTAATATAATGTTATCATAAATTATTATTAAATGACAATAATTCTAAATCTAGTAGACAACTAAAAGTACAATAATAACCCATACAACAATATTCTAATTCATATAAAAAGGTGAAAACTAAAATAAATAAAGATACATAATACAATGAAAAGAATATTTTGGAAGCCCACCATAGCCTCTCTTTGGCACTGTCGTAGACGGCATTTCTGTCTTTTTTTATTTCTGCCTCCGAACTTGGGCTTGTCCATGCAAAAATCACAGCTTCCACAGTCTGTACGGCGAACGCAGCCTTTACACTTCCCGCAGGAACGGCGACGCACCTTAGGAACACCCATCTGGAAATCAAGTGATAAAAATATTTGAAAAGTATTAAGGACATTATTTTAAGTCTCTAATTACATCTGACTGTATTAAATATTTGCAGTTTAAAGGGATAGTTCACCCAAAAATTTTAATTCTGTCATTTACTCGCCCTCATATCGTTCTAAAACCGTAAGACTTTCGTTCATCTTCGGAACACAAATGTCTTTTTGATGAAATCTGAGAGCTTTCTGTCCCTCCATTGACAGCTACGCAACTGACACTTCAAAAAGAGATCGTAAAACTAATCCATATGAATTGAGCGGTTTAGTCCAAATTTTCTGAAGAGACTCGATCACTTTATATGATAAACAGATTGAATTTAGCCTTTTATTCACATAAACACTGATCAGCTGTTTGACGCACAAGAACAAATCTCATTGGTTCTTGGAAGCTCAAACGTGTTGCGCAACACGAGAATGAACCTCACTGGTTACGAGCCAAGCGAACATGCTTGAGCTTCCGTTTATTTTTTATATGTGAATAAAAGCCTAAATTCAATCATCATATAAAGTGATCGTGTCTCTTCAGAAAATTTGGACTAAACCGCTCAATTCATATGGATTAGTTTTGCAATCTCTTTATGAACTTTTTGAAGCTTCATAGTAGTAGTTGCGTAGACTGTCAATGGAGAGTCCAAAAAGCTCTCAGATTTAATCAAAAAGATCTTCATTTGTGTTCCGAAGATGAATGAAAGTTTTACGACATGAGGGTGGGGGAACAAAAAACTTTGTTTTTCTCTTCAAATCATGTCCATATCTGTGATCAAGGCACTTGGATAATGCTACTGCAGTGTAATAATGCAGTGTAACTAGAACTCTACCTCATCCAGACCATTGTCACCATCATTACCCCCAAAGAACATAGACAGATCCTCTGAGTCACTGTACTGCAGATAGGAACTCTGCTCACAGGAAAACAACATTTAGATATAGTTGTTTTACAGCAATCCCTCAGATAACTTCTGACAGATTATTTAGAAGACTGTTACCTGTGAGTCCTCAAATTCCTCTGAGACTGAGGGCTGAAAAAATAATTAACGATTAATGCTTTTACAAGCTTAATGAATTAATAGTGAACTGTGAAACAAAAATGTTTTTTTCGCCCTCACTTTTGAAATATATGAAGCTGTGCTGAGTGATCCAGCAGTTTTTGAGAACTGCACCTCTGATATCTGTGGATTAGATAAAAATGGGTACTTAAGTGACATATTTAATTATTAGACAAAAAAGGTAAATCCTTATTTACACTACCATTCAAAAGTTTGGGGCCAGTAAGATGTATTTTGTAAGAGATTAATATTTGTATTCAGCAAGGATGCATTAAATCGATCAAAAGTGATAGTAAGGATTTCCATTTCAAATAAATTATGTTTTTTAACTTTCATAAAATAATACTAATTTTTTTAAATCACATTTTCCACAAAAATGTGGAAAAACTGTTTTCAACATTGTTTCTTGTTCATCTTTGAAAGGTTTCTTTTCAAAACATTGTTTCTTGTTTCTTGAACATTGTTTCTTGTTCATCATCTCATCTTGAAAATTCATCTTTGCCAAAACTAGGAATAAATAATTATTCTGCTATTACTCTGTTTATTTTGTTATCCAATCCGATGGCATTCATACATTGCATGTGTGGCCAAGGGTCCAAATACCTTCTGGGTAACAATTGTAGATTATATTCTTACACAATTTTAGACATAACATCTGCCCACTGAAAAAAGAAAAGAAAAAAAGATAATAATATTCAGATTTTAACCACTGTACCTTTACACCCTTGTCCTTACGGATGGGGTGCAAACACTTCCGTTTTCGACATTTAACCACTTTCCGAGAGTGGATATTAAGTCGTAGGCGTAGTCGACCATTTCGGCAACTAACACATTTTCCACAGTCCACTGCAGTTTGGCATGCTCGGCATCGGCCACATGGATTCCACTAAACACAAAACAAAACCCACAAATAAATGTCTTTATATTTGTAATGCAATACACTACATACAGGGCTTGACATTAACCACTGTGGGTAGTGGTTTTCCAAAGTTACAAGCCATTCAGCATTTTCGCTGGCCACAATTTTGACATCGATACCGTGGGGAAAAACTATAGATATTTTAAATTTTATCTCATAATTTGGCTGCATGTATATTAGGCTGCTGTCAATTTAAGACCTGACACATTCTGCACAATACACACAATCCCATGCTAAAATTCAAGCCCTGAAACACACCAACAATATTTATCCGGAGTAAATGAAACGAGTGAGTGAGGGGAGGCGGGTTTGTGTCTCAATTCGCTGTCGGAGAGATGAGAGAGCGAGAAAGCGCAGCTGGTATCGTACACGTGTATTCTGCGGAAAATGAGTATTGGAAGCATTTCAGATATATTTCAATATCCATATGCATCGAAAAATCTATACTTTTGACAACACTTTTAAAACATTATTTAGGCTATATTATAAATACATTTAGTTTATTACCACTAAGGTGGCTAGTAGGAGTGACTGCGTTACACGCCACTGCTGAAATCCATCCACACCTGGCGAGTGTTAATGTCAAGCCCTGATTACATAACACAACCCCCCCCCCCATACATACCTTTTTGTAGGGTTTTCTGCGTCTCGCTATTGCTAAAACAACAGAAAACATGATCACCAAAGGAACAGCAATAGCCAAAAAATACACTTCTGTTATTACGATAAAGCTGATTAATAACCTGTACTCACAAAACTGAATGTAATGCTAAAAATACTTTCGACTTACATGCGTTAACCTCTTGCCTGCAGTTCTGGCACATAGTTTGTCCCTCTTCAAAAGTAAAGGTTTTATTACATCTCAGGCAGATGCTGAGTACAAACAAAATGAGAGTGACATGAAGAAAGACATTCACACCACTGTTTTTGACATGTTTGCTACAGTGTAAGAAAAAGAAAAGGCACTGCCTACCCAAACAAACTTTGTCGAGCTCCACCGGTGCCATTGATTGGCATATCTGCAGACACCGAACCAGCCAAGGGAGGAACAGTTGGATTTGGAGCAAATCCAGCCAGATCAACAGGAGGGCGAGCGGCAGCATTTGGTAAAGTGGTATTTGTCCCAGGACCAGTAAAGGTACTGCATTTCGGTGGGGTCACAGTATTCGCAGCCTTTTGGGTGGAATTTGTGCTCAACTTTGGAACAGTACCACAGCTGAGACTTGCTGAAGACCCTGGACTGCAGGCCGTGCCACCTGCATTCGTCAATTCATTTGGAAAACCGGGTGTAGAAGAGCCACCATGGTGTGCCATAGGAGAATCCACTCTCCTTTTCTATGGGTACCGGAATCAAATTTGTTTTATAATTAATGCATTTTGCAACATCGACACTGTCATAGAACTGAACTGAATCAACACTAACTCGAGGTGAATAATGACAATACTGTCTTCTGTAGAGCTGCTTATAACTGAACTCGTATTATAATTGATGAACTTTACACATTTTGAATAATGACACAATTGTCTCTCTAAAGCTGCTTACAATAGGGATGTAAAATTGATTAATCATGATTAAATGCATCTATCATAAAAGTCTGTGTTTACACAATATATGTATATAAATCTGTCTGAGTATACTGTATACACACATTTTATATACTGTAATATATATATATATATTATATTATAAATACACATACATGCGCAATGCGCATGTGTGAGTGTGTGTGTGTGTACAAGTATATACACAGACACAAACACAGAAATATATATAATATATAAAAACATGCACATATATTATGTAAACACAGACTTTTATGTTAGATACGATTAATCGATTTTACTGTCCTACTTTAAAAACAGAATTTGAATTTGTCTCATATTTGATTAAGTTTGGATCATTGATTCAGTCATTTTCCCTTTTATTACTGTGAAACTGCTTTGAAACGATCGGTATTGTATATTCTAAATAAATAAAGGTGACTAAACAATTAAAAGATCATTCTGAACATCTCCTCACCTTTCTTCTTCGAGGGCCGTCACCAAGAAATTGGCCCGTTTTAAAATCAAAATTTGTGAGGTCCACAGAATCGTTTATATGTTTCATAAGCTCAACCCTACTTCTTACTTTGTGACCTCTTGGACTGAAAGGGGGAAAAAATAAACAGTGATTCAAAATGAAAGTCTCATTATTCAGATTGTATCTGTTACATATTAAACAAACTGTTTTAAATATACCTTATATAGTATGTATCACTGCGTCCTTCACTGTTGCCTGACCGACGAAAAACCTGCTTGCGTTTCCATCCTTTCCCTAATGGCGGACAATCTTCCCAACCTTCATCGATCTCTAACTGTGTTCTCCGTCTAGGTCTCCTAGATGAAAAAGAAAAATCACACATCTGTTTTAGCTCAAACAATGTAATGCATAAGATGAAAGGCATTTTAATAAATAAAAGTTTGATGCGTTTAATGGGGAAGAATGCAGGTCATGTACATACCCACCACCTCTGCCACCTCTTTCTCCAGCAGTTTTCAAAACACTAACTACACTCCCACTCCACTCGCTACCAGCAAGGCTCTCTATTTCTCCATCGACGCTCTGGGAATCAAAGTCCTCACAGTCTTCTTCGAGTGGCTCCAGCCAGTCACAAGGAGGCTTGTCGACATCTTTGGAAGATTCACCTTCTATTTCAGGTACAGCTTCCTCTGTGACATGGTCCTGAATGTCTGTGCTTGTCGTAGGTTCTTTGTTTTCCTCTGTATTTGCATCTTTTCCTTCGGATGTTGGTTCTCCAGGAACAGGTTCTTTGTTTTCCTCTGTATTTGCATCTTTTCCTTCGGATGTTGGTTCGGCAGGTACAGTTTCTTTGTTTTCCTCTGTATTTGCATCTTTTCCTTCGGATGTTGGTTCTGCAGGAACAGGTTCTTTATTTTCCTCTGTATTTGCATCTTTTCCTTCGGATGTTGGTTCTGCAGGAACAGGTTCTTTATTTTCCTCTGTATTTGCATCTTTTCCTTCGGATGTTGGTTCTGCAGGAACAGGTTCTTTATTTTCCTCTGTATTTGCATCTTTTGCTTCGGATGTTGGTTCGGTGGGTACAGGTTCTTTGTTTTCCTCTGTATTTGCATCTTTTACTTCGGCTGTTGGTTCTGCGGGTGCCTCAGCTGCTACTTCCTCTGTCTCCATGTTACTAAAGCCTCCCTGTTATGCTTATTTGAGCTGCAATAAGAAAATATCCATAAGTAGAGATACAGTTTCTTTCAACCAAAAAAAAAAATCCTTGATTTACATAACTGAATGGCAAAAGGAGATAAACATCTATTTTTGTCCATCTGAAGCTCTTATAAAGTCGAATTATCTGAAAACTCTCTTAATGTTATGCATTCAGCTCAAGACACCTGCAATTGTATTCAACGGTCAGCTGACTGCCTATTGTTGCTCTCTCTATAGGGACCAATCGTTTTATTTACAAAAGCACGACTTTTGATGCGCAAAATACTGTCTAGGTAGTCAGCACACTATGTTTTGAGACAGAGCCTAACACGTAAAGCGCCAATATTTAACGTTAGCGAGGTGGCTAAAGTGTTAGCAAGCGTGAAATGATAGTAAATAACACTGGATACTGATGTTTACCGAGACTATTAGCTGTTTTTAATGGTTCAGTTTAACTAAAAGTCATACATACAATACGCCATTTAAAAAAAAACCTACCTGTGAACCCTTTAACGAACCCTCACATTGATATATTTTAAATAACTGATACAGGAGAGAAGCCGGAAGTGCTGTTGTAACCCGGAAACACGTGACTCAAGCATTCTGAAATAAAGATCCCTTCATCACGTCACACAACGATATATCCTCTATGGATATATCGCGTAGCTTGATGTATCATTTACCTTTCATTTATCTGATATTCTGTTCGTTGTACTGCTACACAACAGACCTTAGAGCAGGGGTCTCAAACTCAAATTAACTGGGGGCCGCTAGAGGTAGAGTCTGGGTCAGGCTGGGCCGCATCAAGTATTCCACAAAAAAATAGTATTCAAGTATTCCAAAAAAGGAGCACAACTGATCCAATCTTCTCAATATTTATTAACGTTTCTTCTGAACAGTTCCTCTGAATTTGAACATTCCTTTCTGTACATGATTGGTTCTTCATGAGCTGTCCTTCTGACAGTTGAAGTTCATTTTACAAACTTTATTTGTCTTTAACACATATTTGTGATATTTATATTTGCTTATGTCCTTTTTATTTTCTTTATACAACACATTAATGATATTGAATGTTTTTTTTGGAAGGCACATTTCCTTTTATTATACTTAGAAAAACAATTATTGCTTTTGAAATACAAATATTTGCAGTCATGTCTGCCCGTCTTATTGAATTCTTTGTATAGTGTCTCAAATTACTGACTGCACCAATCAAAGCAAACCTTCTTATGAACCTGTTGGACACATATTACAAGCTCAAAGTGATTATTCTCACATTGTTTTAGAGCAGGGTCTCTCTCCAACACGTCGCTCGCGAGCTGCCAGTAGCTCGTGGCCTGATTGGTGGTAGTTCGCCAAGGGGCCGTTCACATATGGGCCCGTTCACATATCGCGCCTAAAAACGCGTAGAAAACGCTGGGCGCGCCGCATTCTTTTTTTTCAAAACGCTAGGGCGGTTGCGCTCCGGTTGGTTCTTGTCACGTGACCTACTGTGCGCTTATGGTGCGCTTGCGGCATTCTGAAAAGTTGAGATGTTTTTATCTCGATGCGGCGCGGACGCGCCTGGAAAAAACGAGCGCGTCGCACCGCGACCGCGTCGCTTCCATTATGAGCGCGCAAACCGCGCGCCTCCATTTGAAATAATGAACTTGAGCGCGCAAAAGACGCGATATGTGAACGGGCCCTATCGCGCTCACATATTTTGCGCGCTCAAGTTCGTAATTTCAAATGTAGGCGCGCGGCAAGCGCGCTCATAATTAAAGCGACGCGCTCATTTTTTCCAGGCGCAGTATGTTTGTACTTCGCGGTTGTCTATGACAACTATTGACAACAAACCCTCCGTAAGCTGTCACGAGACTATCTATGGTAGCTCATAAGGGATACATTTTTTTTTTTTTTTTTCGCGGCACACGCAACGACGGGCCGCACTAACATTAAACTTTAATGTCAAGTAGGGGGCCACAAAATATCACCCCGCGGGCCGCAAATGGCCCGCGGGCCGCGAGTTTGAGACCCCTGCCTTAGAGATTTTAACAGTGTAGCATATATACAAATTACTGTCAGTGTAAACATCTGCGTGACTATTTTAAAATAAAATGTATTTATTGTTATTTTAGACTTCAGACTTTTGGATCCCACTGTATGTATATGAAAAAATATGTTATAAATACCTAGACATGGTAAAACATATTTAAAATGGGATATTCACTTAAATTAAAAATAGTCAAAGAAATGAATATCCAAATGGGATATTCATTTAATTTCTTTGACTATTTTTAATATTTATTACCATGTGTAGGTATTTATAACATATTTTTTCACATACATACAATGGGATCCAAAAGTCTGAACACTAAAATAATATATATGTAAGCAATAAGGTACGAGAGGCTGTGCTGTATCGTGAATAAGTAACGGCTGGAGGGCGTTGTTAGGCACGACGCGAAGCGGAGTGCCTGCAACCCCTTCAGCCGTTACTTATTCACGATACAGCACTTGCCTCGAGTACCTTATTGCTTTTATAAAACGGTTGCCACACAATAAAAATATTAAAGCCGAAAAATATGTATCTATGCAACTTTCATGAAGTAAAATCACTAAAAGCCTGCCTTCCGCTGGAAAAAATAGTCCCGGAACGTGAACAGCAACAGAAGTTACATATATTATTTCGCCAATAGATGGCGGCAAAGACTGTCTTTATGAGTGAGTGAGTGAGTGAGTGAGTCTGTAGAGAAGGCTTTTGAAAGGACTCGAACTTGTGATCACGGAGAAGACAGACGCAACTGACAGATGACTAACGTTATGCACGGAAAACCCCATGACTGTTAAAAGGACAAAATATGCAGCGGACATTCAAACGCATTTTTTTATTATGAATATAGGACTGACCTGAAGGAAAATGCTACGTCTACTGTAAATGCAGGTACACTCGCTTACTCGATCTCTCACAATGCTCTGCTCTAGCTTTAAATGAGCAATATCAATGAGATGAAACATCTGTTTAAGTTGCTAAGAGTGGTTGCTAGGGGTGTTGTGTAGTGATACATAGAACCGTTGGGTGAAGCGGTCATAGCCGTGTTTTATCGTGAATAAAGCACAGCTATTGACCAATCAGAATCAAGGATTGGAACTAACCGTTTTATAAATATAAATAATTCCACATCATCCCAAAAACTCAAAGACGCAAGAGATCTGAGGATATCAGATTAAATTGTTTTATAAATGATTCATGGATGTATGTTTAAGAATAACATACAAAAACAAAGTTACTGTTTTGTAATTACTTGTACACAGGTAAAATTACTTAAGAGATGCATCAATCAACCTGCCATCAATCAGAACCATTTTTTTGTTTTTATTTTATGTTGGCCGATGTCTGTTCCGAACTTGCACGCAAACTGCATTGCAATCATTTTCCAAAAAGTTATTTGTGTGGAAATATTATGAAGTCTGTAAACAAGATGTTAAAGGACAAGTTCGGTATTTTACATGCAACCACAGAAACCGAAAATTCTCAGACCCAGCAGCATGTGTCCAAATTTCAATCTTTACCGTTCTATTTCATCAGAAAGTGTAAAATACCGAACTTGTCCTTTAACACACCGGGAAGAGATGGGACACACTGAAAAAACAAGCTCACTGTTCGAGATCCTCGAAATATTGGAAGGAAAAAAAATATATATTGAGGGTTGGGGTGTTAAATGCATATATATCTGAAGAGAACTGACTATCGTCAGAAAATCTTCAGTGCATCCCTAACATTAATCAATACAGACTGAAGGAGACATGAAGAATATGTTTAATATGAATGACTGTCCAAATAGTGACAAATATACAATATGAAAAGTATACAAATATAAACAAATAATTTTTTAAGTGAGCACTGATAGTTCACATGGCTATCTGTCTTTGTTGTTGCGGAGGTCAGTGGTCAGGGGGTCATGCTGGATGGTCTGGTGGAGCATGAGGGCCAGTAGTCCTGCTCTGTTGGTCATGGCCGTCCTCACATTGCGTTCTTGTTCAAACAACTCATCCAGCTTGTACCACTGTTCAGAGGGGGAAAATATGAGTATATAAAAATACATTAAGACTACTATGACAATAAGTTTTGAAGAACTTAACTGACCACTCTGACACGCTCAAGGTCCACCTCTGCCCGTCTGAGCTTCTCCCAGCAGTAATGCTTGTTGCACTTGCGTTTTGAAACCCTGCAGTAGTCTCCAGTCGGGTCAAACACGTTACGCACTAGTGGACATCCACACACCTCATCTGCTAGGACCTGAGAAGAGAAAAGCAGAATGGAGATGTACTGAACACAAATCAAGTTATGAAGAGATTTTATAAGATGTAGTTTAGTCTGAGCAGAATTATGGCAAGCCTGTAACTAAACTCTCACCTTTGGGTCTCTGGAATGTTCTGGACATAAAACTTGGAGTCTCTTGCAGTATGTTTTACTCTGAGGGTTGTACACGTCACAGAAGAGTCTTGTTGCCCTGACAGAATAAAAAAAGAATTATAAAAAAAAATATATATATATTTTTTTTCTCTTTTTTTTTTCTTTTATATTGTATTTTTACTATAAATATTCAATTACAATATTTATTTCAATTAACCAACAGTCTTGGTTTAAAAATAATTAAGTTGCAACTAACCATTATCAAATGGCTATTATAAAGTAATAATACATTTATTTATTTAAAATATTTTTAAATTTCATAAAAATGACGAGCAAATAGAGGAAGTGTCGATATAACAAGCACACTAAGATAGAGTTTCTATAAGTGAACAGGGTATTCAGGGACATTCAATCGTAACTGCTGTACTGGATCATAACAATTTCACATTTATCTCTCTTACCCTTCTATTCTGGTGGGGAAAATGGAACCGAATGAGGTCTGGCTTTCGTACTGTTAAAATAATAAACCAAGCGTTAGTATTAAACAAAATCAATGTTCAGGTGATCATAAATCAGTAACCAATAAATTGGCTCAGAAAACAACATATATTGACCTTGGCATAACATCTCTCCATATGCCTCAGCGCCACCTTGGGGTTGATGGGGTGACTGCAGGACACACAGAATATCTGAAGGTCTGTGTCCTCACTGTCAGTTTCATTCACCTGCAAGAAAGGACATTAGCTTTACACCCTAATAAATATGACAAGATCCCTGAAAGACACAAATTCCGTCTCTTAGCAGTTATTCTATAAAATTCAAATGACATTAGCATGTGAAAGTATTACTGGAAACTCACATCCTCATCCTGTTGGACCACCTGCTGCTTGGCTTTGGCAATGATGCCCTCGAGCTCGTGGAAACGGCGCTCCATTTCGGCAAGGCGCATCCGTGCAGCCTGCTGCTCCCTGCGGATGCGCTCCAGCTGTTTTTTGCCCTGTTCCTCAGCGACGCAGGGGCTCTGCTGCCACTGCTGGATTCGCTGCGGGAGGATCTCGTAGATCCGGCTGCACAGATCAGCAGATCAATAAATCGATAGATCTTATTTAAAACACATCATACTGGTGTTGGTATAACATTGCGCGATTGTTCAATGCTAGTTGGCTGCACTTAAAGTCACCATGAAATCTCAATATCTTGTTTTTATGGTATAAAGCAGTATTTATTATAAATAATTTATCTGATTTACCTTTAATCAAAATAACTTGTGACATCAACCAACTTCTGTTTCATGCCGACTTTAATGAAATAACCTACTTGGCAGCCAGCTTCATGCCACAGTCCTCAGAGCAGTATTTTGAGTTCGGACGTGTCAGCTCAATACAGTTCGGCCCCAGGCACTGTTGCATGTCTCCTCCATGTCTGCTGTCTCCCCTCTCGCTGTGCCTCAAACGATCACGGTGCTTCTGTTTCTGCTTGTGGCGACGGGACTCTTTCTGTAAAAGATGAGCACAATTAACAAAAACTACTTCTTAAATGCAATCAAAAAACCGATTATGTATTAAGCACTGTGTTCCTCATTGCACCTTTTTGTCAATTTTTTTGTCTCTCCTCTTGACGTGCTTGACTTTTAAAGCTTTCTTCCGTGGGACAGGACTGTAAAGTTGGCCGTCTTCATCATCATCACTGCCCCATGACTAAAAAAAAAACAGGTCACAAGAGAAGGGCAAGATTTATTTTTGAGTGCTGAAACCTAAAGCATCATCCCTAACAAGCAAATCTCAAACATACTCATGTTATAAAAACATCTTATAACTTGACAAGAGTTCAAATTAATGTATGTATATACTAAGTGGTTGTGGTTGAGCAACAGCAATTAGCCGTTACCGCATTTCTGTCCTTGTAGTGCTCATATGGCTCCATATCGTTCTCGTCGTAATCATCCAAGTATCGTCTATCTCTGTGCATTATATTGTCCTTCCTCTCACGCAGAGAAAACTCCTCATCCCGAACACGTAGCATTTTCTGCAAAAACAATGAAAGAGAGTTAACATCAAAACAAAAACTACCTAATAAACCACCTATATAAAGACACTCACCCGAGCACGGACGACACACTGCCTTAGACGACATTTCTGACGAATCTTGTTAGGGCCCCCAAATTTCTTCATGTCTTTACAGAAGTCACACTGACCACAGTCCTCATTCCTAGTGCAGGGTTCGCATTCACCACACATACGGGCTGATCGCTTCACCTGGAACGCAGTTAGAGGACCACACTATTATATTGTTCTATATTATCACTAATAAATGTAACAATTATAAATTCCTATAGTATCCATTCAGGTTTAATGACTTCACGAAGGTTATTAGGCAAGTTCAGTCTTGTTTTAAAATTAAGTTCAAATTAAGACAAACTGAGAAGAAATATAAATAAAGATTATTATATCCAAAAAAAGGCATTATCACATTGTTATTATTAAAATAAAAAAATACTATTAATCTTTATTTTTTTTAATTGAAATTCCTGAAAAACAACTATTTTATACCGGTAACACTATTTTACAGTGTTCTTGTTACACAAATTACATGTAATTATTATAGTAATAATAGCGAATTATGCCTAATTACATGCATCAAACACTAAACCAAATCCCAATTCTATCCCTATAGTAGTACATGTTGCTAATTAACATTACTCAGTAGTTAATTGGATAATTACACGGTAACTAGGTCCCTAAAATAAAGTGTAACCTACAGTACTGTGCAAAAGTCTTAAGCACGTTAGTATTCTCACTTCAAATAAAATGATTTTAAGTCAGTTATTTATATCTTTTGCTGTAGTGTGTCAGTAGGAAAAACCAGTTTACATTTCTAAACATCTTTTTGCCGTTAATTGTAATAATCCAGTGAGATTTTGTATGCACAAGGAGTTCCACACAGAGATCTAATCTCACCATTATCAAGTCTGTCTGGGATTAGGAAAAAACTAAGACAGACTAAATCCAGAAGAACTGTGGCAACGTCTCCAAGATGCTTGCAAAGTCTCCGTTTTTTTTGTACTCCCAGATGGACTCGGTGATGGTGAGATCAGATATCTGTGTGGAACTCCTTGTGCATACAAAATCACACTGGATTATTACAATTAACGGCAAAAAGGAATGTTTAGAAATGTAAAATGATATTTCCTATTGACAAACTACACCAAAAGATATAAATAACTGGCTTAAAACCATTTTTTTGTTGGTGAAAATACTAACGTGCCTAAGACCTTTGCAAAGTACTGTATATACCATAAAAAAATGGTCAAACTGCCCAACAATAATGCAATAGAGAAAGTGCCGACTCCCGAGTGTATAAAGCCAACTTAGATATAAAAACATACTGAAGAAACACTAACTTTAGACCCACGGCGCTTATCGGTCTTGTACTCTGGCGTGCTGGATCGTTTTTCAACCCTCTCTGGCTCAATGTCTTTATCACGGTTCTTTTTCCGGTAGCGTATTGAAAGAGATGGATCCCTTTCTAAGAGATAAAGAATTAGAACTGATTAACTGATATTGTAACAAAATATATTTTAATATGACAAAGTGCATGTTTAAATATTTTAAGGTGAACAACAGTGGAAAAAAGGAAAAAATCACTGACCCCGACACTGGTGGCAGTACCACTCCCTTATAGCTTTGGCCATCTTCTCTGTCACATTTATACAGTGACCATGAAACCACTCATTGCACTTGTCACAACCACTGTGGGAAAAAGATGTGATCCAAATTAAGCTCTCAGTTTGGACGCATACATATTCACATTCTTTGTAATAGAATTTTTGAAGAGATTTGTCTCACATCATGAAGCAGTTAATGTCTGGTTTTCGACAAATGCAGTAGAGAGGAGCATTCTCTCCATCTCCTACAGTGTTTTTCATAGCTGGAGCCTGGTCCATATCAGACATCTCGCTGTCCTACGAAGACAATTGAACGAAAACATTGAAAAGAATACAATACAATCAATACAATAAAACACACTCAATGGAAATATCATCATCAAAACATTATCGTGCTTCAAAGACTATGTTTGTATGGCATTTAATTAGAAATAATAAACAATAACAATACAAATACATTAAATTAGTTATCCATTTAAAACAAAACAAAAAAGTACATGTTTTGGCCAAAGTTCAACATCAGTGTGTCACAATCAATACATATTAGCATGATAGCACATTTGATAGCGAGAAAATAGATTAACTATCCAGTGCTGAAAATCTAGTGTTGGTTTACAATATGATTAGTAAAATAAATAATTCGTTCTGTCATTTGCAACGATCGTTTTTAGAGAACTAATTTTGTATTATTTTGACTGCTCAAGCCGGAGCTAATATGCTATCAAATCATAATAGCAGACTTACCATGGCTGCTTCCCCGCCTTCTAGAAGATCCGATCAAACAGAACAAATAAGGATAAGTTGAGATAATGTCTCACTGCATAAACACGTAAATGTCCGCAATGCTCCGACTTTAATAAGAGTCAAATTTCCCAAACAAAACTAGGAACTGGAGCAATATTACAAAGCTAATTGTTACCGTGGGCAGTGGACAACAGCGTTGTTTCGGTTCTGTTTCGGAAGAGGGTTGATTGTCATAATAAAAGTCCTCATGGGGGGAAAGCTATGTTCATTTTCTAGGTCGTTTACAGACAAAGTACATTCTATCACATGACGATCATTGAAAGATCAATATGTTTTCTGATTTAAAAAAAAGTAATATTTTAAAAACATCAGCAATATAACAGTTATACTTATACCAATACTACTAACGTTACTTCTAATAATAATAATAATAATTATTATTATTATTATTATTATTATTTATAATAATTGTAGTTGTAATAAATGTTATTGCATTTTTTTATTGGTAGGGGGTGTGGTCCTATCAACACTATGAGCATGCTAACGAATGGATAATGATTAGGCAACGGCCCCTGCAGAGCAAGTAGTAGGCTATCAATCTGTTATCTGAGGGGCGATGAGAATGAGATGAATGTGGTGTTGAAGGTTAGTGAATTTTAATAAACTTGAATGATCGTAGATAATAATACGTAAGATTGCATATATGTATAACTTGGCAATAGTATAAAACAAGTTGAAAAAGACGGGAGGCAACATTGTTGTTGATTTACATTTAATTGTTTTAGGTTTACAAAGTAAATATTATAAATATTACATCACTGTTCGCCTGCTAATATCTGTATCTGGATACATTTGGTGACAGTGCCGCAGGTTGATATCCTACTGTCTACATGATGAAGAGGCAGAAGTGTGTTTTTACGATAAATATTTGGTCCTAAAATATCTTTAGTGAAATTTAGGTTGGAGATTGTTGAATAATTTGTAATGTTGAATTCTTTTTAATAAGAACAGTATATGTATATTTTGTTTAACTTTCTATTGTATTTGAATAATTTTTGGTATAGGCTATCTGTTTATTATTATCCTGTAAACTTATTATTTTTTTCTTTTTCTTTTTTCTTTGGGTTTTGAAATCTGCTTGGAAAGAAATTTTCCTGGCATCTCTTTGACTCAAGGTAAGCAAACATTGGACTAATAGGTTGCTGAAATTTATTGCCCTCTTTACATCTAGGATGCCTCTTATCCCTGTCACACAATATGTTTGCCAAATGGATTGAGATTAATAATAGATTAATGACTCTGGCACTTTTTGCTCCATCAGTACTTTTTTACACTAAGCTTTGTATTTTTTTTGCGTATATGTATAATATTTTGAATATACTTTGCGCATATCAAATGTATAAATCAAAAATGATCAGTAAAAAGTCATAATAGTCACAAAACAAGAAAAATGAAATGGTGTTGTTCACATTATTAACTGTTAGTTCCATAATATATCAACATGTCAAGTGATCAATTAGCTTCCTCCATAGTATTTTACCATTAGTATTTAATATATGCCTGTGCTAATCTATTCTCTGTGCTTCCTGTGTTTGAATATTTTATGACATGGTTCAAATGCTCTGGCATTTTCACTCTTCATCTTTACACTTATTCTTGTTGTAGCGAATACTGTGAGAGGAGTTTGAAAAGATGAATTGTGACCATGACGAGGAACATGGCCAGTCACCAATTGGATCAAAATCCAGCTTTCGTGAAGATGACCCGCAAGTTCATTCCGTTCCAAGTGTATCAACTTTTCAAAACTCTGGTAAGACTTTTCCATTCTCTTTTAATACATCAGTATAGAGGAAAAGAGTAACTAATAATGTGCTTTATTTATTTTATAGAGTCATCTGACAAAAAAGACTTGAAATCTACAAGAACGTGTCTAAAGGATAATGAACTCTCACCAACAGATGAACTTTCTAGGAAGGAAAACTCATGTCTTATTTCTCCTCTTAGTAAAACGAAACCACTAGCATTTGGTACATATCCTTCACACTACCTATCATTCTTTAAGCCAACATCCAAATAACTTTATTATTGTCTCCACAACATAGACGTGCATATCAAAGAAGTCCCAGCAGATGTGAAAAAGCCACTTCAAGACGCACCTGGCAGAGACATCAGTGATGCTTTTCCTGTCTGCGTTCAGCTACCCGCAAACCACCTCAAAAACTCACATATCACCGCTTTTAAAGCAACACAACGTCATCGCAAAATCAGCCACTCCTCCACCTCCACATCGAAAAGTCGTCTGAGCCTGAAAGCCCCTGCTGAAGGTAAGCAACACCTTAAATTACATTTGACTCAATGAAATGAGGGATTCAATTTTTATGACATCTAATGCATTATAGATGCAGCTGAAATCCCCGCTAGCAGGACTGATAACAGCTTTCCTTCTTCCTGTCCTCTTTTATCATCAGTATTTAGCTAAATTTATGAGCGAATGCATGCACAACCCAAACTTTCTTAGTGTGGTGCTGATTAGTAGTATAAAGGGCTCTTAAACGTATACAAACAGGATAGCAGTTTTATGATGGACTACAGTGTCAGCAAAGCTGCTTTATTTGTGGTTACCACATCAATATTTTGTCTGTGTTATAGCCATTAAAGGAATATTCTGGGTTCAATACAAGTTAAGCTCAATCGACAGCACTTGTGGCGCAATGTTGTTGATTATTACAGAAATTAATTTAGACTCTTCCCTCCTTTTCTTAAAAAAAGCAAAAATCTGGTTTACAGTAGGGCACTCAGGAAGTGAATGGGGCCATAAGACATAAACAATGTGTGTAAACATTAAAGGACTGTAAAAAATTATGATTTAAACAACTTTACAGCTCAAATAATAGTTTTAAAGTCGACACGGAAGTTGCGAAAGTCTTTTCTTCCCTGTTGTGACGTATATATGAGTGAAACGGCTTCTCGGACAAGGAAAAATGGACGGATTTTGTCCATCAGGAATTAATTGGATGGTTGTGGTTTGCTATTGTTGTGATCTCATCTGAGTAACAGGTTGTTACACTCACACCTGAAGAGAAGAGAAGAGAAGAGAAGAGAAGAGAAGAGAAGAGAAGAGAAGAGAAGAGAAGAGAAGAGAAGAGAAGAGAAGAGAAGAGAAGAGAAGAGAAGAGAAGGGAAGGGAAGGGAAGGGAAGGGAAGGGAAGGGAAGGGAAGGGAAGGGAAGGGAAGAGAAGAGAAGAGAAGAGAAGAGAAGAGAAGAGAAGAGAAGGGAAGTCGCTGCAAGAGGGAGGGGAAGTTATTTTCATTGAAGATTACGATGGCACATGAATTTAAAAAAAAATGATGATGTTCATGGACAAATGAATTATAATGAATACTGCAATATTCCATAAAAAACAAGCAAGAATTGTCTATTTTGATTTCATAGTGACTTTGTCAGACTAATGTAAGTGCTTTTATAAAATTACAAGCTTATTATTATAAGGCCTCATTCACTTCCATTGTAAATGGCTCCCCGTAACCTCTTTTTAATAAAAAAAAATGTTGTGTTGAATGCAGAACATGAATTTAATCTCACACATAATACATTTTCTTGTCTTTTTTCCTGCACTTCTAGACCTGTGTGCATCCTTTCTGTTAGCGTGTTTGTTCTGCAAGTTTTGGGATTGCTTGCTGGCCGTTGGTGATGGTTGTCAATTCTGCGTGGCCTCAATCTGCACATCCTTCTGCTCTCCAGCATGTTGCTGCAACCCTTCCTCTCTGGAGGACTTCATAGATTTTTGCCAATGTTGCAGCTGTGCCGAGTACGTGGAGGCGTGCGGCTGCAGTTGTGGAGAAAACACCTTCGACTGCTCCATGTGCGACGTCTGTCTACAGACGGCCGAGTGTCTGGAGCTCGGCATGGAACTCTCTCAGCTTCTGTTTCACTAGCTGCACACACAGTCTCACTGTCATTCATTTATATACTGGTCATGACTATCAGATAAGGCTGGAATGGAATGTGCTGATTTCACAAGCATGTAAATCTGCTGGTTGATTGTGGCTATGATACTGCACGGCTGCATTTGATACTGCATTTTCACACCTGAACTACAATATATCAAAATATTCAAGTTTTTGTCCAGCTTATTGCAATTTGAGAGTAAACATAATTGGTCAAATAAACTGTCAAAGGTACACTGCAAAAAATTATTTATATGTATATACATGGCAAGACAATGTGAGAATGCATTATACTAAATGTATCTTATATATAAACTTTTTTTTATATTTTAATGCTCTTTTGTGTGAAAAGAATGCAAGTTAGCCGATGTATGCAAAAGAGCTACTAGATTTGTTTACCTAAAACTGATAACTTGCTCATCAAATATGGCATATTAAATTAATGTTGAGATGAAACTGGAGGTAAATGTGCAAATAATTAATGTGCAGATTTGACTGAATAAACAATGACAAATGAGTTATATTGTTGTATGGAGATCTTTTAAAAAAAAAAACAAGAGAAACATTTGAAAAAAGTCAAGCATAAGATTTTTTCATCAGATCAGTTTATTTTAGCCAATTAAATGCACCAACACATTAAACTTTAAATAATTTTTTCTCAATTATAAATTATGCGCTTGAAAAAAAAACTGTTTTGTTTATAATATAAAAAAAAACACCTTCCTTTAATTGAGTACAGATGTAATGAAAGTAAAGACGGCAGCTGAAAAATAACTGGCAATTCGGTTTTAATGAGTAGAAATATGTCTTTAGACACACACCAATGCTTATTTCTAAGGACTGTACTGTCAGTAGATGTGACAAACATTTGTATTGCTTTGTGACGTCACATAAATCATTTCAAACATTCAAGTTTCGAAATATATTTTACAAGTCTATGCTTTTAGCTTTGAATCATATAGTTTTATATATCATACATTCATTTGAATTGCTGCACAACTCACAGAGAACAACTAAAAATGTAGACTCATTTGTATTAATTTCTCTATATTTACAAACCAAAAAAATGACTTTTGTTCCTTGAAGCTAAAAGGCACAGTCTGATCAGAGATGACACTTAATTTGGCTTTGACTGGCAATACGCTCAATGTCATGTTTCTGAGCACATCTACAGAACATTTACATTTGCAGGTAGGTGTATATTTAGCTGCATCTAACAAAATGCTGATTTAGATCTATTGCTTAAAAAAGCACTTTAGGCAGAGGTAGCTTGAGAAGTTTTACACCTGAAAAGCTATTTGTGCATGTTGTTTATGTGGCTTGTTTCCTTATATACATTCCAAAAATCTGTAACACTTTGCGCATATTTCATTAACATAAGTTAATGCGTCAGGTATCAAGAAGTAACAATGAACAACAATTTTTACAACATCAATTATTGAGGTTAAATGTTCATTTATAAATATACTACTGTACATTGATAAATCATGTTTGTTCATAATACATTAATATTAATTTATTCAGCATAAAATCTTTAAATATATTACTTTAAAATGTATTAGAATTGGTAGAAATTAACTTCTAGTATAACTAGAATTTGTTTGATATTGTTTTGCATGATACCTGACGTATTAATGCCATTTTTTTTTTAAACATATATATATATATTAGGAAGTAACACTTTACAATAAGGTTCCGTTAGTTATAATGCATTAACTACAATTAGCGATATATTTATTACAGCATTTGTTCATCTTTGAACGTTAGTTCAAAAAATATAACTGGTACTTTTTAGTTTATGTCAGCTCCGATTCATCAAATAATATTAACAGATACCACTTTTGACTTTAATAACGTATTGGTAAATATTGAAATTAACATGAACTTTATTAATTGCAAGTTCATGTTAACTAATGAACTAACTAATGTTAACAAATTGAACCTTATTGTAAAGTGTTACCAAATGAATTTTACCTCATAGAAAAAGTGTCACCAAAAAAAATCATGTATGAACACCAGCACCGTCACAAATTTGTTTAGCAATGTAACATTGAAAAAGGTCAAATTAACTAAGCTTAAAAGGAAGTGTTGTAAGCAAACAAATAAAAAGTAGAAATTTCAAACCAGTTAGTAGTACATATGCAAGTATTTGGCTGAAAGTAAAGCAAAGTGTTAAAAAATAGACTTTTCTGATATACGCAGTAAATATTGCTTGAAAATTTTCATCAACAATAAATAATGAGTTCTTGCAATTAAACAACTCCGAAACATCCCTTTGGTATGGTAAGTGACTATAAATTGACTACTACACTCCAAAAACATATATGTGCACTTGCATGCTCTGAATGCAGAGTCTAATAACACATCTATCACATTAATAAATGTCACATGATTTAACCTTATGGCAGCTGAAGTTAGCTAAAGGAAGGCTTAGAAAGGCTAAAACGTCCTACATTTTAGCTACAAAAAGGCTAAACGGTTTGGGTGCGTTTCAGACTTGGTATAAACATTTGGGAGTGTTGCAATCACTGACTGCCAATGAAACGCTGTAATACTACAGTTAATCTTTTTAACGAACTGCCTTGAATCAAAGAGAACAACAACAGGGACTGTTCTTTAAAGGGATAGTCCACCAAACAATGAAAAATCCATAATTTCTGCAGAACACAAAAGAAGATATTTTGTAGAAAGTTTGTAACCAAACTGCTTTGGTGAACATTGACTTCAACACAACAGACTAGATTTGCATGATTCTGGATAAATTGAGAATCACAATTTTTTTTTGTTTAAAATAAAGATCATGATTGCCCCACGATTCTAAACAGACAACTAAACAAAATAACGTACATTTCTAGAAGTTCTGACAAAATGTTAATTGCTGCAGTCTACATAAAAATGTTTAATTAATTTGAATGAATGATTCAATGACTCACTCATAAAGACCACTTGATCCATTACTAATCGTGCAGCTCTAACTGAGACATTTAGCAAAATATCTTCTTTATGTTCTACAGAAGAAAGAAAGTCATACAGGCTTAGACTAGATGACAGAAATTTTAAGAACTCACTGTCCCTTTAAAACATTCCACGTCGTCCCACATGAGGAAAAGCACAGAAACGTACATATAGTGGTCAGTTCTGTCACAAGTCATCCTCCATGTTTACACTACTATCGTGGCTGCTGGTCTTGGAGGCTCCAGGGGAAAAAAGCACATCTGAAGACCTGACAGTGGGCATCGTGCAGCTGTCATCCATCAGAATGTCACTGAGAGCCACGTCAGAGTAAAGATCAGAGGCCGTAGGGTCGTCCAGATCTGCAAAGCTAAAGGTATCCAGATCGAGAGGGCCGCTTACTGCCGCAGCAGCCGGGGAGCCGGAGGGAGGTATAGCGAGGAAGGGGGAAGTCTGTGCCATGGCAGCATCCATGCTGAGGTGGCTCTGAGGTTGGCCTTCCCCAACGCCAGGCTGCATGGACTGGTTCGCCTGTAGTAGCTGTTGCTGAAGGAAGGAAGCATCTGTGCTCAGGCCTTGAGACACAGCTGTGTTGAGGCCATGGTGACGAGCTTGCATCTCTAATTCCTGTGTGCAACAAACAGATCACAGGTTTCACAGGTTTTAACATAATAAAGAAGTGGGACAAGTTAAAGGGGTCATATAATGCCATTTTTGTACAAGCTAGTATGATTCTTTAGGGTCTAAATTAAAAGTTTGTAATATACTTTAATTAAAAATTCTCATTAGTATTGTAAGAAAACACTTATTTTACTTGGTCAAAAACAGCTGTTTTCAGCACGCCGTTTCAGTGCATATGACTTTAAATGATAATGAGCTTTGCGCACCCCGCCTCTCTGTTCTATGCGTACACCGTTTGTAACACAATAACACAATAACCATAACGCGTTGTTCAGTATAAACGTGGGATTATGAATTATATTGAGAACATCATACATAGAAAACATGCCGTAATGTACCCTGAGTGTAAACCTTAGACGCATTCATTGTGAAGCGTGCAGCTAGCGATTTGCAAAGATTAATATAAATATTAATATAAAGTTTAATAAAACGTTACACTCACTTCAGTTGTTCTAGAGGTTCAGCAGGAACACGAATAGCTGGTACTGATCCTTTTTTCATGAGCAGCTTCTTAGCAAAACCAGCTTTTTACTGACCCTCGTTTATAAAGCAGTCTGCTGAGAAATGATTCGCGCAAACATGAGAGCATTGACGTTGCTCGTGGGGAATATTCCCTTCGAAAACAAACTCAGCCACTGCGTCTTCAGCGGTTCGGATTTAGGAACATTAAAATGACTGCTGTGTTCGTTATTACACCCAAGAACAGAACACCACTTCGCTTAGACGCCATTCTGCTCATAGACAGTGCTCCAGCGTATCAACAATGACCGCGCCGGTCCGCACAGACTATGATTGAGAGCTCGCTCAGGGCGGGTCTGTGTTGAAACGCAGCAGTCAATCAACAATCGTAGGAGGGGCTTCCGAGAGTGTGACGTCACAAAATCGAACGGCTCAATTTGAGGCAGGGGAAAACATATAAGGAGATTAAAACAAAAACACTGGATGGATTTTTATCATTTTATGATGTTTGTGTACAGGCACTGCCAACACACATTTCAGTACAATCAACTTGTAAAAGTGCATGTACCATTATATGACCCCTTTAAGTGTTAAATGGGAATGTTTTTTTTTGGTACAGACAGGAAAGCTAACGTTTCACATACCTGTATGCGGAGCAGCAGGGCCTGATTGGATTGTTCCATTTTCTTTTGCCTCATCTCAATCTCTTTGGCCCTCTGTTGCTCTTTCTGAAGTTTTCTTATATAATCAACAGAAGCCTTTAAAATGGTTCCCTTGTTCCAACGCATCTCCCTGCCATTTCAACCAGACAGGAGATTAATATTATGCATACACACACACTCCAAAGTTTTGGGTCAGTAAGATTTTTTCTTAGGAAATATATTATGTTCACCAAGACTGCAATTATTCGATCAAGCATACAGTAAAAACAGTAATATTGTGAAATTTTAATATTTATTTAATATTTATTATAACATTATGTCTTTACTGTCACTTTTTTTTAAATCAATTTAATGCATACTTGTTCAATAAAAGTAATAATTTCTTTCAGGAAAAAAAAAAGACTCACCCAAACTTATACAATAGTGTATAACATCACTCTATGATGTACCACATATACATTGCAGTGGCTCAACTAATGACAATTTAAAAGAGAAGTGAATTTTTTATTATTATTATCTATATATTATTTATAATTGTCTTAAACACCTTTTGATCTAAAGGCTTATGCTTGAAATTATTTTGAAGATCATGAAGAAGAAGAAAAAAATCAGTCAAAAGTGTCCAAAACATTTGACCAGTATTGTATGTTTTTTGTTACATTATGTATGCTTTCTTTTAAAAAAGTGCCACAAGGCTTAAGGTTTCAAGGAAAGAAACTTACGGATCACTGGATTTGGGTATCATACCCCCTAATTCCTTTATTCTGTCATTTATGTTGAATCTTCTCCGCCTTTCAACTACACAAGGCAAAACACAGATTTGGGCTGAGTCATGTAAAGACACGGTAAACAAACAATATACGACTGGAGCATGTGTCTTTTGAACTCACTGAGATTGTGATTATCTTTTTTCTGCCTCTCCTTCATGAAAGCTCTGGCATCTGTGTCTGACAATAAACAGCTATTATGACTACTACAAAATACTGTAGATTCATAACACAACAAACAGTTGAAACCAATGGAACACTGGTTGTGAAGAAGGCTGTTGAGTAAAACATTACCAGAAAATTCCCTTTTGATGTTGGGCAGATCTGCTGGACAGGAATTGCTGACGTTGATGTTGGAGGTTGCCATGCCAGGACTGCTGTAGACATCCAGAAGGTTACCTGGTAGCTAAGACAACAACGGAGAAGAGAAATCAAATCAAAACCCTTCAAAACACTGAGCTGTACCAGGAAACATATTGTGGTAATATCAGCCTAAAAACACATTGATTCAAATCAAAATTTGCTTTACCATCAAGTATACTATTGTTTAAGAACTTGAATTTAAATAAACTTAGCAAGGAACATTGTTGTAACTAAGGGAAAATCTTGCCATTTTATTATTCAAAGTAAATGTAGTGCTATTATTCTGGACGTGAATTACTGAACTATTCATATTATTCACACATTGAGGAAAAAACAACAACTTGCAGACAAATTAATCATTATAATCAACATTAATTAAAATTACTTTATTTTGCAATTTTATTCTGATATACATTTTCCTGATATTATAATGAAATACATATTATAGAGATGCACCGATTACAATTTTCTAGGCCGATACCGATTTTAGCTGATTCCCATTTCATTTTTTTCTAACCACTTTACAGCACACACAAATATTTATTTTCTATCTTTTCTTTAATAGAACATTTTGCATAGACCATTTTTTGCTATAAAATAGAACTATATAAATGACTCCTGGTGTGGGAAATTCACACACACACATCTAAAGTGCAGTGTTGTGGAAGAACCATTTCCTTCTTTTCACATCCAATATCCAACTAAAGAAAATGTGATATATTTAGCAAACTAAACTTCTGTATGAAAACAGGGAAAACAGGTAATGGCAATTAATATATATAAAATATATAAATAACAAATAAAAATAAAATAAATATAGTCTTGCAGTATAAAGATATCTCTCAAAACACACACACAGGCCTATTGCAATCACTTGTACATCAATGGCAATGATTTTGCGGAGTATGAAAAAGTGTTTGCTCCTTTCCTTGCTTAAAAAAAAGCGAACAGAGGTTGCTGACTTGTGGATGACTCAGTGCTAGTTTGAGCTTGGTGTTTACCTTTAGCCCCTGAGTGTTGGCCTTTGCTAGTTTCGTCAAACTTCACAAATTCAGCTGGGTGACGTTGTCTCAAGTGTCTGATTAGATTCGTTGTGCCAAAGGTTTTTGGTGTCGTCCCTCCACGTCCTATTTTTTCATTGCAGGTGTTGCATATTGCAAACTTGTTATCTTCTTCACACACGCTGAAGAATTTCCAAACAGCTGACATGTTGCAGGATAATTCACAAGGTTTCCTACATGTGCGTTCCGTGTGCACGTGTGATGCTGCGCGATGTTAATCATGCGGCGCCCGAGTGCATTTGACCGGCATAAAATCGGCATATGTCAGACTGACCGACCGGTCGCCGATCACGTGAAAATCGGCCAATTCGGGTCACCAGCCGATCAATTGGTGCATCTCTAATTATAATAAAACTGTTTTCATTTCAAAGCAGCAGATTCCAAACAGATTTCTTTAAGAATAAAGACTAATAAATGCCTATTAATTCAAGAATAAGATTTTACCTTTCTTTTTCTTTCATGCTCCTGCAATAAAACTAAAAACCTATTTTTAAATTTTACGTCAACTCACTTTTTTCTCTTCCCTCCAGAAAATAAATAAAGGAAAATCCTTCGCCAGTCGTTTCTAGAGTTCTTTCCATCTTGTGCCATGCTCTGTACAGTCCCTTCACAGTCCTTTTTGTGCACTCCCTGTTAATTCCTGCCTGGCAGGTGTTAGTTAAGTGTCAGAAGTGAATGTTTATGTCGATTGCCGAGATGCATCCCCATTTATCGCCTCCCTCATAAGTGCAGTGGATAGCATTCACTCTTAAAAGGGGTGGGGACATTTGCGTTCAGGAAATGATTCCTCCGTAGCTATCAGAATGGCTTGTGGCGGTTTACCACAAGTATAGATGGGGTTCAAAGAGCCTTTTATTCAGAACATTGCCGTAATGTTATGGATGTGTTCATCAATAATGAAGATCATCGTTTAGCTTACCGTGTTCGGGAGTTGTAGGCCAGAATCTATCAGTGACATGATGTCATCATTGAAGCTGGACTCAAGGCTGATGATGTCGTCAATTACATCATCCATCTGAGGGGATGCAATCAAGGTGTAGAATGAGTACTGTCTTATTGCATATCTAATCGCTTTAGAAGTGGGTTATAAACAAGTATGTATTTAGGGAACCAATTAACTATTCTGAACAAGAGTGTGTTTTATGGGAGATCTAAAGCAGAAGTGCTGTATGGTGTGAAAGAGGGGTGCAGATATAATTAAGCTGCTGGTGTGGTATTTTGCAGTTAAATGCGACACAAAACTAGTGAGAGGGCAAGTTGAACAGAGAACGTTAAACATGTTCACGTGTCAAGAGAGTGGCACACAGTAAAAACATAATTGGGCTATGCTTTATTATTATATACACAATTACTGAGTAATGTTAATAACAACAACATGTTCTTACTATAGAATTAGGGTTAGGATTAGGGCTAGTTGAATGTAATTATACATAATTTACGACAACTTTTATTAATAGATTTAGTTTTAGTTAACAATAACAAACAAAAAGATGGTTGAGTGTGATGGGGAGAGATGAGGCTCAGTCTGTCCAAAACAAGGAAATCCTCATGCAAGTAATCGCGATACTTCCAGCAAACTCGCTGTACTTCTGCTAACACCAGCCTGGTAACTCAACTAACTTTATTTCCACCTCTTTGACGATCTGACACGCATGTATAAGCCTTGTTAATCTCACAGTAATTATGCTTGAATGGAAGTTCAATACAGGCAACGTGCCAATTTGACGTTTGATGACATGTCAACTAGCTAGCTAGTTAGCCTAGCGCTAACAGCTGGATGGTGCTAAAAACAACCATTCTGCATGTGTTCAGCGATTACTAGGGGTAGGAATCTCTAGGCACCTCACAATTCGATTCGATTACGATTCAGAGGGCTGCGATTCGATGCTAAAGCGATTATCTGAATCTTTTTTGTGTGTGTGTGTGTGACTATAATACTTTGCTTTAAAAGTACCAAGTAATGACCCATAAAGAATTAACGTACAATATATTTTATTAACATTGCAAAGAACCAACAGGAAAATAAATGTGTGCCTGAACTAGCAGCATACTTGTAGTAAATTAATAATATATATAACAATAACAAATTATAACAAACGTCAGCATATTCTGAATCTCTAACATAAAATGGACTTCAAACAAACATCCTCCAGTTAGAATGTGTAATACGCTTTGCCCTTTCCGAGCCGGGTGGAAGCTTCGACAATATAGTTTGCTCGATGGTCCTCTGTTTGGCAGCAACAACCTAACTCCTCCTCTGGGTGGAAACGTGTCATATGGCTTCTCATATTTGTCGTGTTTCCGAAATATTTTAGTTTTATTCTACAAAGCTCACAAATAGTGTGGCTCTTGTCCAGCTCCTTTCCCCCTTCAACTTCATAGAAGCCAAAATATTTCCACACGTCAGCTTTTAACGAGGAGGGTGTTTGGATTTCGCGCTCAGCCATTGCGTCTCTGTTATGTCAGAGTATAGAAGAACAAGAGGTGAAACTGATGCTTTTTTGTTAACAGCCACAAAGTGGCCGTTCGGTAGCGTGGCCGCCATTTTGGGGTGAAGATTCCAACTGGAGTTACTGGACAAACTCACTGTTGAAACGCCATTTCAATGGATCGGTTCCAGATGGATGAGTGAAGCTAGGCGGAGCGAAATTCATCTGGCTAGGGCCAGGTTATAAGTTTTGTTCACTTGGTACAACTACAGTAAACGCTGTATTGTCTTGTATATGTTTTTTTGATCAGTTGTGGAATCCAATCATTAAATACACATTTGAGGTAGTTTTTTTCTTGCTTTATTGAGTATTTCCATTTGATGCAACTTTACACATTTACTACTATTATTAGTTAATAACTCCACTATGCCTGAAATATATTTTGTATGTTTTAATCCCCTGGATCATGCTACAAACATGATCTTATAGAACATGATGCATTGCTGTGTCTGTTATCCGATAATTGCCACTTTTGGACAGTGGCTGTGTTTTTTTGTTTACATAGTCTTGCTTTAACGCTCATTAATATAAGATAGTACTGCAAAAAAACAGTTTACTGTAAAGCTATTCTATTGCTGTTATATAGGCTATTTATTGTCCAACATTCCCAATTATCTGATATAGCATGTCCTTTACTTAATTTTATATGTTGGTATTAATTCAGTGTTTGTAATGCTAATACTAAAGGTCTTGTGGGGAAAAAGTAGAAGACTTGTCTAAGTCTGTGAAATAAACTGTTAAAAGTATGTGGATTGTATGTGGATTTGATCTTTAAATGTACTTTTTTTTTTTTTTACCCAAGCAGCTGATATTGCCATAGCGACAGCAAGAAGCTAGTGGATAGTGATGGGAAGTCCGGCTCTTTTCAAAGAATCGGCGAACTCGTTCGCGAACGACACATCACTAGTGGACTGCCGAGTCGCTTTCACCCCAAAATGGCGGAAGCGTAGCGCTGCTGCTGGGCGCTGGTGTTGCAATGGAACTTTCTATTGGCTTTCACTTCTTGTCAATATACGTTCTTTAGTTATGTGCACGCCACAGACCACAGGCACTGCACTTCCTGCATTTATATATATATATATTTTTTTTTTTTGAAAATCGATTTTTGACATTTGTGAATCGATTCAGAATCGTCCGCATCGCGATGCATCTAAGAATCAAATTTTCCCCCCACCCCTAGCGATTACAATATAAAACTTACAAAATGTTCATCATAAACTGCCGCTAAGACCCAGAATCTGCCCTACCTAAATTTACGGTCAAGAGCCGCTACTGTTTAGATATAAATAAATATATCAGTGTATATTTAGATGTGCTTTACCTCTTCTTTGTTGGAGCCCAGGTTAAGATGTGCCATTGGGCTATTCGGAGCACTGCTTGCAGAAGGGCCCATCTCTGGAGCAGAGTTTGACTGCGGGACAGGTGATACACCAAGAGTTTGTGTGGCAACTTTATTGCCTAGCGTGGTGGACAAGTACTGCTTCACTTGCTGCCTCTGAGCCTGCTGGATGTGGTATTTAGTTGGGTTCTCAAGATGAGTTTGCACCTACAGCAAAGTAAAAACACTGGGTCAATGGTCATGTAAAGACATCAGTGACATTTCATTCTCTACAATAAAAAAAGGGAACTCGCACTTATGTTGACTCTACATTTTATGCATGTGACATCAAAACTAAATTTTAGTGGACTGCAGAATGTCTTATTTTTGAAAATGTCTGTAATATTTAAAAATACATGTTTAAAAATGATTAAATTTACTCATTTTTTATACCAAAGAGTTTCTTTTGCTTTGTTTATTTTCATTTTCAAACCATTTTTTTTTTTTTAGGTCAAGCTTCAAACTTTCAGCTAATTGTGTCACGGTTACTAGACATGTAGACAGTAGTAGAACGTTTTTTCGACCGAGAGAGACTTCTTTAAGGCTCATAAGAAGGTCCGACCCACCTTCAGAACCTCCACCGGTACTTGAGCTGGAGGAGGGCGGGCAGCCATGGGTGGCACCGTGACGGAGATGGCGGGAGTGGAATCTGTTGAGCGGAGCTGAGCGACAGACGCCTGCTGCTGCGCCTCCCTCCTTTCCTGCTCCTGCGCCTGCTCCCGCATCAGCTGTTGCCGTAGCAACACTCGGGATGACATGGCTACGCTGGTTCCACGGGTCAAGTATGAGAAGAATTAACAAGCTGCAATGGTGAAAGCATCAAGAAAAATTTGGTAATAATGCTACAGGATCAGCAGTATAAAAGGAAATAACACTTCTCTTTTTGGACAATGAAGACATGAGGAACAGGGAAATGTTACTTATCCGAGTCATCACTCAGATAATTGCATTCACAGAAAAATATAATACTCTACCAAAGCACAAACAGCAAATACATTAACCTCTAAGACTTTTTAAGCAGGAAGAATATTAGAGTTAATTTATATATACATTATATATATATATATATTATATATATATATATATACAATTAAAAAATATATATATTATACAGTATTGTTAAAGGCTATAACACTAACCATTTAACTAACATAAAACATACGCAACAATATGAAATGACAGAGACAAGTGAAATATTTTTTTAATTTACAAGAAAACATGTCTGACTAAAAACTACTGCTTAACATTTCAAATGAATCCGTAATATATCATATGATTTAAATCTGCAGCTCTATAATGGGGAAGTGCAGAATTTACCTGATGACAGCTAACCAAAATTCTATTTTTTGTGGATTTGCCTTTAAGACTGTCCCTCTAAATACCAACAATATATCAGGCACAAACACTAATCTGAACGTATTCATTTAGCTATAAATGGACAAAAACACGCTTTAAATTATGATAGTGCAGCTAGCTCTGCTGTGAGTTATGTAATAGTTTGCTATAGGTCGGGATTAGCCTAAGTTAAGCAAGTTCGTTAACATTAACCAAATTAACTTGTGTATTAATTATTTACAACAGTAAGCGACTGTAACTGCATATGACAAATCCTAAAGCGCAATTAACAAACCCGGAATGGTTGTTTTTAGCACCATCCAGCTGTTAGCGCTATGCTAACTAGCTAGCAAGTTGACATGTCATCCAACGTCAAATTGGCACGTTGCCTGCATTTAATTTCTTCAACTTCCATTCACGCATAATTACTGTGAAATTAACAAGGCTTATACATACGTGTCAGATCGTCAAAGAGGTGGTAATAAAATAAGTTGAGTTACCAGGCTGGTGTTAGCAGAAGTACAGCGAGTTTGCTGGAAGTATCGCCATTACTCGCATGAGGATTTCCTTGTTTTGGACAGACTGAGCCTCATCTCTCCCCCATCACACTCGACCATCTTTTTGTTTGTTATTGTTAACTAAATCTATTAATAATAGTTGAAGTTAATTAAAATAAAGCTGAAATAAAATACAATTAAAATATTTCATGTAAAACTTAATTTAATAGTTTAGAAAAAAAAAAAAAATTAAAAAGTATTTTAAGATGAACTACTAAAAGAGCCATTCCACCGAAAGGGTGACATTTCTGTCCCCAGGACATTATATGTATAAAATTGCATGAAAATTAACTCTAAAATACATTTTATTATTAAGCAAAATGTCATGCACATTAAGCTAACTACAAATTTAAAACGTATAATTAAAAACATTAATAAAAACTACATAGAACACTAAAAAATAGCATTTTCTGCATGTCCCCACTCTCTATCTCTAAACTTTACCATGAAATATAATGATTAAAATCCTTCAGAAATCAGATTTTTTTTTTTGTTGCATTGTTATGTGACTATATCCAATCTGCTTTAAATGAAAAAAGAAAAAAACATTTGTTCTAATATTTTAGATAAAATACACATTTTAGTCATGGCCCCGGGTTTTCACTCAGTCCTGTTACCCTATTACATCCCCCCTCTGAAAAACTTAGAATATTCCACAAGACACATTTTCAACAGTAAGTTGCATCATCTGGATCTTCTGAAGGCAATGGGGTGACCATAAGTAAGTCCTCTCATTTTAATTTCTGTATATTTGATGAAATTGTAACTATGACTGAGAAGGTCAATCTCAACATACGGTCCTGTTACCTAAACTTTTTCTTAGATTTTATTTTAAAAATATAAACTTTTGGTAAGGCACTAAAAATGGCTCAGTGTCCTCATGCTATTAGCATGTATGCTATGTGGCCATATGCCATGTATTTGATAACTTTTTGCTTAAAAACTCAATCCTGTTACTTTCAGTCCTGTTAAAATTTTTTTCTTTTTCTAAAAAAATCAAATTAAACCACTATTTTTATCAGTTTTGTTTGGCCCATAATTTATACAATTATTTAATAAATTAAATTCTAAAAATAAATTATAAACTTGAGGCTTCGGTCTTCTTTAAAATTTCTTGTGGGGAAAACAAAGGAATTAATTGACATGCTTTTAAACTTGCTTTTTAAAATGGCACAGAAAGAGTTTTCAAAAAGAGTTTCGGTAACAGGATTGAGAATACATGAGCCCATCTTCTGCTTAAACCTTGTTTAAAAAAAAAAAAAAAAAATTGCCTGAAATTGACCAATACACATTTTGAATAGTTAAATATGTGTAGTATTAGACTCAATGTTGAAAAAGATAAAAAATAAAGTTTAATTTTGAAGAGTTACAACAAGCAAATGTCACCCATTCGGTGGAATGGCCCAAAACTAAAATTTAAATAAATTAACACTAAATAGACAAAACAAAACTAATAAAAATGACAAAAACATAAAAATGACTTAATACAAAAGATCATTCAACATATTAATAAAAATATTTAAAATATAATATTATATAATTAATAAAAAATATTTTCCCCCCACAAGAACACGGGCATGTACACGTGTACATCTAGGTTTTAAAAGCTTAAAGAATTTTAATACATTTTTACAGCACCAGACAAAAGTTTAAACAATTTACAATAAACTTTTTAAACTTTTACAATATTATTCTAAAATGTGGAAAACAGTGATAAAGTCAAAATTATTTATGACAATGGGGAAGAATGGGGAAAAGGTTGTGGCTAAAAATTTTAACGTCAAAACATTTATGTATGCAAAATATTTATGTATCTATGCATGTTTTTATATGTTTTTATTTTATGCATTTATGTATAATTTAGTTTCAAAATTAGCCATGCTTTAACTAAATTATAGGCTGCTCTTCCTTCACAATCTGGTTTGACTAGTACTTATAAAAGTGAATAAACTGGTACCAGGACTTTGAGAAAGTTGTCACAGTAGCCGCGTTTTCCACCGCAATTACCAGGAACTATTTGTCCCAGGAACTTTTTTCATAGGAACTTTTTTTGCCCCAGAACGGTTGCTCACTGCGTTTACACCGTGGACTAAAGTACCGGGAAGATTAGTCTGGTGACGTTGAACTGCGTGCGACTGCTCCTCCCAGTCTGCGCGTACTTGTTTTGAGTTTTAAGTATTGAAGAGATTCAAGCTGTGCTGCTTTTGTGTGCGATCTATTGGTTTACTAACGAGGTAATTAACAAAACTGCAGAAAAGAGACGACCACTAATACCAAAGCGTATTCATTTCAGAAAGCTCGTAATGCTAGATATAGAAGTAGACAACGTTTGTTATCAGCTATAGCGGACATGACCGTGAGATGGATGGGACGAACGCGCGCCATCCGGCAGAGAGAACAAGGTAAAATAACCAATCAGCATGTTCAGCGCACAAGTCCCACCCCGAAAGTTCCTGAACTCTGAAAAAGTACTACCTCGCCAGCAGGGACTTTCTGGGGGGGAAATTTTTACCCGGAACTTCATTTAGACCCTGGTTCCTGCAGTGTAAACACACGGAGTACCACCCCAAAGTTCCTAGTTCCTGGGGAAAGCTCCTGCGGTGGAAACGCGGCTAGTAACTACAAATTTGTGCTTTTCTGATTTACAGTAGAAAGGAGGTCAATAATAGTCGTAGAGGTCTAGTTGAGTCATTCTTCTCAGTCAGAGAAAATATGATTTATTTGCATATTTTAAATTGTAGATCATTTAAATATACATGTTAGTTAGTATTTCTAAGGAGAAAGTAAAATGAACTCCCAGAGCATCTTGGTTTAATGCTCATCGCATCAGCTGTCAGAGAAGGAGAAATTTAAAGCTGAGGTAAGAGAATCTGAAAGTTTGGTGCCGAGTTTATCTACGAAAGAAGAAAAAAAGAGAAGTGATGTTATAATTCATAGTTTTAAAGCAGTGTGCTCAGCTTGTAATACATGTATGGATCACTCAAGGATGAATTTATTCCAAACAAAGAATGTCTTACCAGCTCTCTTTTGCTGCTTCTTTCTTTTTTTGTTGGCAGCCAGGAGTGCCTGACCTTGCAGGAGTGGGTCAACTTTCAGAATGTCTTTTAGGTCCACTGGCTTTGGGCCTACAGCTTCAATTGCACCACTGCTTTTTGTCTTGGGAACCTTGAGCTCAACAGTCATCGGCCCAAACTTAATAGAAGAATTATAATTGAAAGTCAAAAATGAGATCCGAGTCTTAAAACACACCATAACAAATCGCCACCAAACTAACCTTTGTGCACTGAATGATTAATATAGGTGGATGTAAAATTATATTGAATTAGGAACTGAACCATGTAATGGATGTACCTCTGGGTCCTCATCTGCATCCATTGATTCAACCGTGTCTTGAAGTTCAGGGTCCTCTGATGGTTTGTCTATTTGCAGTTCTGCTAGATCTTCTCCTTGACCGCCTTCTGTCAATCCAGATGTAGCCATACAGAACCCCATCTGTGCATCAGATGTGCCACACTCTAAATTGTAAAAAAAATAATATATATATATATATATATAATGGCAAATGTGTGTATAGTTAAAGTGTGATTATAAAACTTATATAAAATATGGTATGTCTATTTCATTGATAGTATAGCCACAGTTACCAGCCATTGCCTCCAGATTTCCCTTCTCCAGTTCATCCCAGTCAAATGCTTTGCCCATCTCAGCTACAATCTCAGCACTGACATGCGTGGGCAGTGTGTGAGTCTCAGGAGGATGTGTGAAGTAGCTGATACGACCCCTGTACAAGAAAGAGAAAGAGTTCTAAATATACTTTAAACTACAGACGACTGTTTTTGACCAACAAGTAACAGCTGTGCTAGTAAAAAATTTAGGTATTTTTAGGGTGTTTACACGACAATGATGTACTTAAAACGGAAAAGTTTATCCTTTGCTTTGATGTCAAAACTATCCCAGTTCACAAGGATCAGCGAAAACGACTAAAAACGCCGTGTGATGCATCCGAGGCCAGTAGTTGGCAATGTCACTTGTAAATAAACATTACACACCTATAGACTAAACACGTAATTCGCATGCACATGATGTCACCGTTTTCACAAATTCGTGTTTTTGTTGTTTACATGCAGACGATGGTAACATTGTTTTCAAAAACTTGGACTTTGAAACCCTATTTTAGAAAGCTTGCGTTTTCAGTCCGCCAAAACGCAAAAAAAAAGGTTGAGTGGACTTTTAATGGATGGACAAAAATGATGAGAGAATATTAAAAACATTTTTATTTGTGTTTCAAATGTGGACAAAGTACTTTGGGTTTAAAACAACATGAGAGTGAGTAAATGATAAAAGTTTTCAAAATTATGTTCACTTGATATCACATTTTCTTATTTACATTAAGTTGAACCTTAAAGGGACTATTTTGAAAAATAGTCTCTGGGTTGTTTTTTTTTACCATAAAATGAAAGCCAATTTTGGACCCCATTCACCTTCATTGTAAGTGCAAACAATTTAAACATTCTTCAAAATATCATTTTTTTTCTTCCACAGAAGACAGGTGAACAAGGCGAGAAAATGACAGAATTGAAATTTTTGCTTAAACAATTCTTAAAAGGTCAACACGTAACTGACGTTTAATTCACCGGGACTATAACCTCACCCTGTCCAATCCATAAGAACACTCTTGGCAGCTTTGTCGGAGTCAGGAAGCCCTCCTTTCCTCAGCTTGCCTTGACGACGGGCAAGTAAGGCCAGGAACTCATGTACTGTCTGGAAGTCTGGAATTCCATAATGATCCATAATCTACACAAGACAGATTAAAAACCAACTGGCTCTCAATCACATGTAACACTGTGATTCCACATTCAATTAAACGGAAGTTCTTGAAATATAAGTTGCAAACCTGTATTTTATTGCAGCGCCTCAATATGGCTTCAACAGGTGGAATTGGGTCCACCAGCTGCTCAATCTTCACACAGTTCCGAAGGATCATGGCAGCATCACTGGTTGAGGTTGCCATTACAATACCAGGGCAATCTAAAAGTTTGATATGTTTGTCTAG